AATAATAAAAGTAATTCCCACACAATGGTTTCAAAGTTGTACGAGAAAAAAAATTGGAATAGCACTTTTAAGAAGGCATTCCGTAATCACTTAGGTTACATGATAAATCAGTATGTACGACTGACTTCTGCAAAACAAAAACTTTTCCTGTAGGCGATACCATATGGGCGAAAGCTCAAAATTATCAGTCCGCTTTCTGGCGAAAATAATTCGGAGGAAAACGCATTCAAAAGATGGCCGGCCTTATAAGGGAGATATACTGCCTGAATTATATAATAAAGGCTTCTCTTATTTCCAACTTTCCAGTACAGCATTTTAAAATTTTTTAACATTGTCAAGTAGCTGCTCTAAGGAGAGTATTGTGACTACTAAGCTATATTTTTAAACATTATAAAAACAATTTCACATATAGTTTTAAAAACTACGGATTAGACTACAATTAACCCTTTTTTTCAGAAAAAAAAAGTAAAATAGGTACGTCTTTTATCATAATGCGCATTTTTTTGTAATCGAGTTAAATCTTTCTAACAGCTATTGCTCCTTTGAAAGAAAATGGGCAAAGTTAAAACAGTATTAACTAACATTTTCATTTAAATACTTTATAAATTTCAATTCAAATAGGATGTGTAAAAACTATAATAACATCTCAAAGATAATTTCCAACACATAAATTCGGTTCGACTAATACCTTACATTCTATTGAAAAAAAAAAGAAAGAATATCTGTAGTATTAATTAAAAGACTGAATCACCTGCAAAATGGTAACACCCAAAATTTAGCGGGCGTTTATAAATACCTAAATATATTATAAAAAAATTACTACTACTGCATTTCATTTATATAAATTACGACCTTGCAAAATATGTTGCGTACGAGACAGCAGGTTGTACATACCTTAGTTACTTCCTGGTTAAACGACAATAGCATTATAACAATAACAGAAAAAGAACATAGTAGTCAGTAGTCAGCTTTATTGCGAAATTCTCGAAAATGTTTAAATTTATGTAATAATTAATAAGTAGTTCTAAATCACTGTCATTGTTAAGTTGCCAACTTAATAATGATCAAAAATATAGTAAGTAATAATATTTTTATCGAAGAATACATTAACAGTATTTTCAAGAAAATTTATAATAAATTGAAAGTACGGCACAAAATTGATGATCTTTTTTGTAAGCAAAGAGGTTCAACTCGCAAATATTTGTATCTCAATTTAATTTATAGCCATATTCAAATTAGTTGTTCTTATGAATACTTACGGTAGAATAGTAAAGTTAATTTTCTTAACTGCACTACCATGTTTTTCTAATTATGCCAAATTAACAAATACTAAAATATTAAAAATTGTCTCTGTTCTTTTAGCACTACGATAAAACTTTTTAATATTGACTAAGTTTTTTCCTTTTCTAATTATTTTTATCGACATACGTGCATTTATTAGCTAATCTAGCCAGTTACAACAGATACCTATCAAAAGTAGCATAAAATAAGTTTTTGCATATTTTAGAGCAAATGTGCATTACATTTAGAACATGTAAAAAATTATCTGTTAAATATTACAATGAAATAATACTCGAGAGTCTTGGAAAGATACTATGTGGTAAAAAAGGGAAAGAAGTCAGGGAATGATGCAGATCAAATGGAACATATACCACAGATCAACTGGAATATAAGTATACCACAGACGTCATTGTTACGTACGTTACGTAATAAATACTAAAGGGCTGTTGGGATATTAACAATACTTGTTAATATTATTTACATTCATGTAAAGTGTCACACAGAAATATCAACTTTTACCACATAAAATAAATTTTTTATATTATCTCATTTTCTAATGTAACTATTAGCTACACGTTCTCCAAATTATGAAATCACAATTATTGTATTTCTTTGAATAATAAATTGGACATTTTCTTTTTTCTTTCGATAAATGATACTATGTAAACGTATCGAAAAGTACCTGTCATAGTGGTAGGTAATTGCCAGAAATGTCGTTACGTAAATACACACAACTTTTCAGATAAATTCGTTTGTGCAAAGGTGTGGTTCGTGAGCAGAAAGACAACTTTTAAAATATTTACGGACTCGTTTAATTTAGGATGACTTGAAGGTCATTGCTGCTAACCAGTGATTTATAATAGTCTTTTCTACAGGGCTAACACCAAGGGAGGGTTTCTTAAACTTTTTTTGTTTCGCTTTATACACAGTGGCGGCGCGTGAACATTGATTGAATGTGTTCTGTTTAGGGTTGTTATATTTGTTGAATTGAATTCCGGGATATTAACTGCTCGGAGTCTCTAAATGGCGCCGCAGGCGAAAAATTTTAAAATTTTCAAGGTCACGCGTTTTCCTGGCACTTCGAATTTCAAGGAACAATGAATTTATAAAAAAAATATAGTTTTTTACAAGAATGATTTTTGAAATTGATACCTTTTTGAAATATCTATTTACGAATTACCTACTGATGGTATAAATAAATTGGAATAAACTAAATATATTTTATTAAATTATTGAATATTGTTTATAAACAAAANACGTAATAAATACTAAAGGGCTGTTGGGATATTAACAATACTTGTTAATATTATTTACATTCATGTAAAGTGTCACACAGAAATGTCAACTTTTACCACATAAAATAAATTTTTTATATTATCTCATTTTCTAATGTAACTATTAGCTACACAATTATTGTATTTCTTTGAATAATAAATTGGACATTTTCTTTTTTCTTTCGATAAATGATACTATGTAAACGTATCGAAAAGTACCTGTCATAGTGGTAGGTAATTGCCAGAAATGTCGTTACGTAAATACACACAACTTTTCAGATAAATTCGTTTGTGCAAAGGTGTGGTTCGTGAGCAGAAAGACAACTTTTAAAATATTTACGGACTCGTTTAATTTAGGATGCCTTGAAGGTCATTGCTGCTAACCAGTGATTTATAATAGTCCTTTCTACAGGGCTAACACCAAGGAAGGGTTTCTTAAACTTTTTTGTTTTGCTTTATACATAATATGCATTTTAAATGTCAAGATCAGTTAGATTGTTATTTCCCTTTGGTGTCAAAAAATTAAGTTGTATTTACCATTCTGAAATATGTGTGCTTTATTTGAAATATTTGCAGAAATTAATAAGTGGATCTATAAATAGTTGAATAATAATTAATTTTTATTATTTCAATGTGTTTTTTGTACTTGCTTGATTATACAATTTTGTTTATTATTATAGCTTCTGTATTTTTATTTCAGTTTAAAATCAAAAGTAATTCATATTAAGTCTAAAATTGTAGGGGAAATGACGATGGTTTCTAAAAACAGCAACGTTGAAATAAAAAATAAAATTCCACAGAATCAATGAGGTGCAAAGGTATTTTTTAGTGATTTTATAGTCTCTATAAGTCTCTTCTTTCTTCAAAATATCAATTGAAATATCTTTTACCATTTGCAATAGTCAAATGCAAATTACATAATCTTTTTTTTATAGATTTATGAATTTTCGTTATCGAAATTGTAACATTCTAAATGTTTTCAAAAATGTTTATCATATTGTAAGGTTTTTGAATGTCCTTACAGGTATTTATTTTTATTTTTAAAACTAAGTTGTTAGTCATTTTGTGAAAATTTTGTCAGCTACAGAGAATTCGATTATTGATTCCCATTTTATTTGAATTGCAAATAAAATTATAATAGCTACAAACTCAAACTGAAAGGTGCAGAGATTTCTTTCAAATTTAATGCTGTTGTTGAATTGGTTGTTGTTGATGAAAAAATATAGTTACCAAAAGCATTAGCTATTAGTGAAACACTAGGGTGATTATTTCATTAATTGCGTTATAATTGATAAAATCTTGTAATTATTTTTTTAACAACCACTTCATTATGACATTGATACATGTCTATTAAAGTTTTATAGCGATATATTCATATGTGGTTTTACCATTATTAAAACTAACTATTGCTAAGTAACTTTTGAAATATTAAACTAAATCACATGACATACTCCTCGAATATTCTTAACTCAACCTCATTTTATGAAATTCTTATCAAATTCGAGGCAGTAATCTTGTCAAAATATTTTTCAAACTTTGTTACGTCTATTTATTTGAGAAAATAGAAAATTTAATGAAATTATTCAAACTCTAAATAAATATATTTTAGTTACACATACTTAAATCGTTTTGAGTATGAGCGTGAAAAACAGTTGCCAATGATGTCACAACCAACCCTATTTCAGTAATTCCGAAAAGCATTTTTAATTATTTAATTTAATTTCTCTTAACAACGCCAAAAGCGTCAAGTTTAAAATACCCTGCACTTTTGTGATTAGTATGGCCAATTCTTTAACGCCTAGCTGGCAACAGTAAATAAGAAAACCCGCGAATAAATTGCACCCAATAAAAAATGAACGTCAACATACCTGAATAAAATCAAAAGGAAGTTAAATTTTACATCTGTTTGATCATTAAAAAGCTTCCGAGTTCCGTAATTACAAATTGTCTATTTGATATGTAGGAAGTAGTGTGTGTAGTATATCCATTAATTATGGAAAAAATGACAATCGCCTGTCATAAGATATGTTGTTATTTGTAGTATATTTAGGAATTAATACCAATATTTTGCTTTGTTTTTAAAAATCAAATAAAATAAAATTATAAATTGAGTAAAGATAACTTTTTTGCAGCCAAGAAAAATTGAAGAATAGTTTTCTTTTTATTTGAAATGCCTTCTGAAAATCCCACAGAATAACTGGTTGGTTCAACAACATTACTAAATACCGGCCATAAATTTTTAAAGGATTTATTATTGACAATTTAAAATTAACGATTATTTTCTAAATCAAAAAGTAATATCAATTAATTTAAGTACTGACGATATGCAAATCTTTGGAGACGCCCATAAAAACGGAACCGCTAAATAAGTGCTTCAGTTTTTTCTACACCATATACATAACATTAGCCGGAGACAAGGTTATTCTCCAAACTTTGGGTATAAATTCGACCCGGTCATGTCCTATCAGCAGTTGATATCTGGCAACTGAATACAACCACACACACCTTCACAATGAACTGCTTCGTAAGTACTTTTTTACTCGATACTTAAGCAAATCTCTCGTTCTTCAAGTAAATTTAAAGACACAAGTTCGGAGTTTCTGTAAACTGTGCCTCAATTAACGAATTTTTTCAAATACTTCTCAAAGACAGCACTTTTAATTTTTGAAAATATTAGCCAAAAATAAAATATTTTCGTGAAAAAACTAGGACCTACATAATTAATCTTATTGTATATTTGCTGAAAGATACTAAATGATTAAATCGAACAATTTCAAAGTTAGAGAATATTTTTATTATACTAATTTTTCAATTTCATATTTTACGAGTAGATTCAATCAATCAATACTACGTGTATTTTAAAAAGATTAAGTCATAAAATCCTAAATAACTATGGAATAACATGATTGATTCGGTTTTTCATATTCATATTTTACGAGTAGATTCAATCAATCAATACTACGTGTATTTTAAAAAGATTAAGTCATAAAAGCCTAAGTAACTAAGCAATAACATGATTGATTCGGTTTTTCAAAAGTAATTTAATGTTCAGGCGAATTATTATTAAATCCTTTTATTTTAAATAGTTTTTCAATATTTTATAAATTTATTATAAGTGTAACATTTTACATATGATAAATTTTTAAGATTCTGTTTTCCAGAAACAAAAAATATAGAATAGGTAGAATTGTAAAATAATAATTGTTCAGTAATTTGTAATAACTCATTTGTTGATAATCATCACCTCTACAATTTGTTTTTTCTTGTGTCATAGTCAAATTACTTAAACCTAAAATTGGTAAATTACTAAGGCACGTTTAAGATTCGGATAGTAATTATTAGCGATTATAAATTTTTCACCCGGTATTGCTATATCAGCTGTTCCCCAAGAATCACATTTGGGACCATTATTATTCCTGGTCTACAATTCCATCATTGCTTAAAATTTCGCTAGTTCCTATATATTCACAAATAAGTAACTGTATTAAATGGCCCTATTTCTTAGGTATTTAACCTAAGTTACAATTATTCAATTTGTTTTAATGGCAATTTAAACATATTCTCACTCTAGGTAAATAAAAGATCTTGGTTTTATTTTCGATATAAAATTGAGTCTTTTGTCACATATTAATTATATAATATTAAAAAGTAACAATGTGCTTGGTTTTGTTCTCAAAGTTAATAAAAATTTCATTCAGTAGCACTGCATTAGAGAATGGTAGAATTTTCACTAGAGCACAAAATTATCAATGGCTTTATTGATTCTTCAGTTCTGCCTATTTTTCACTGTTGGCTTTCACCTTAGACTTAATTCTATCAGTCTTATTATCATAATAATTCTGGCTAAAACAGAATTTGTTGAAATTTCAATTTGTATTTTAATCATTTAAGTATTTTTTCTTGTTACTAGTGACGTTCAAAAAAACTTTAAAAGGACCTCATTATGTAGCTTCATAGCTGTAGTATTAGATTAACTTTAAATATTCTGTGAACATTGCTCTAGGCTTAAAGCCTGTATCTGTCCCTTTTCGAATAAGCAAATAAGTAAATAAATGAAAGCAAGCAATAACATACCTTCCTATTCTAGGCCTTTGTTGCTTTTTTCGCCGTTTTGGCCGCTGCCCACGCTAGCGTAGCTCCAGTAGCAGAAGTGCTACAAGGACCTAGCAGCAGGACCACCTTGGTAGGACCCGAAGGAAGCGTCATCTCCTCCGTATCGCCCGGAGGCAAGGTCATCACTGAATCATTGCCCGGAGCTGTCGCCTACTCCGCTCCCGTTGTATCCAGTTATGCCGCCCCTGTTGTATCCAGTTACGCCGCCCCAGCCGTAGTATCATCCTATGGCGCCCCTGCCGTAGCTGCCAAGACTGTATTGTCCTCTTACGCCGCTCCATCTGTAGTATCTACTTATGCCGCTCCATCTGTAGTGTCTACTTATGCCGCTCCAGCCGTATCTTCCTACTCCACTAAAGTAGTATCTGCCGGCCCAGTGGTATCCTCCTATGCCGCTCCAGTCGTATCTTCCTATGCCGCCCCAGTTGTGTCTTCCTATGCCTCTCCTGTCGTATCTTCCTATGCCGCCCCAGCCGCCGTATCCGCATACTCCGTCCCAGCTGCCGTATCAGCATACGCCGCCCCAGTAGCCGCTGGAGTAGTTTCTGAGAATACCGTTGTTTCTGGACCATCTGGAACCATCTCCACCGGCAAGACTCTCGCCGCCCCCGGTGTTGCCGCCTACAGCGCTCCAGTCGTAGCCTCATACGCCGCCCCAGCATGGTAGATTGTTGATTTGTTAAATTATTGTTGATTGCTTAGTAAATAAATTATGTAAATACTTGCAAATTTTTGTAGATTTATTTTCCTCCACATCGAATCAAAATGGAAATACCAATGCAAAAAAGAAACATTATAGAATGGTCCAACTAATCCGGTTTGTTTTTTGTCTTTAGTATTATTTGATTCGTCAATAAATGCAAATGTTTCACAATTCGAGATATTACGAGAAATTATTGTGAGAAACACTCATTACTACAAGAATTCTTTAGAAAAAAGAAAGGTAGCTTGGGTCTAATTTATATTATTATAACTACAAAAGAAAATATTGTAGTGAAATAGAGATTCAAAACCGAAGGAAAAATATGTACTAGGAAAAGTATGAAATGTAAACCAATAACCTTAAGATCGAAAAATTATACAGTGTGATTCCAAACTAAGTGAAACAGCTTTATTCTACTTAAAGTAACACTGCTTCAATTTTCCTCCTACGCATTTTTGAAAATTCCATATTAACAAAGTTAAATAGCCTCAAAATTATTGTATTTTTATTGATATTTTGCCACAACTTTTTTCAGGTTGAGAAACTTGTCGAATTTGGTAGTCTTATCGATATTATTCATATGAGAATGAAACACTCTAAAACCCTTGTAATGTACCTCCTTTAGTTATTAAAATTCTGTTGTATTGACAATCGGCTTTTCCAGTTGAATAGTTGCAATATATTTTATTTATAAATAGATATGTTCATGCTCATGTTTGAAAAATATACTCATCTTCTTTTTCTGTTTGGATCTCCAAATTATATTTGTAAATACACACATATTATTGTACTACTTTAAAATAAAAGCAAAGTTAGATGTAATTCTTCCAATTACAATAGACATCAACTTCTACATATTGGTGAACCTCACGGAATAAAAAATTCCTTAAGAATTCCCGACGTGATAAAATGTTCTCAAATATTCGAGAACTATTTGAGATTGGGGCGTTTTAGAATGCTAAATATTCCAGAGTACATTATTTGAAGATTGACAGATGTAAAAAATAAAGATTTTAGAATGGAATACATCCCAAAGAAGATAGGGGTGACAAGAAAATGACTTTAAATAATTAGTTTTGGATAACATTATTTACTTATTATTTGCGTTGGGCAAGGCAATAATATTTAATTTTTCCTCCCCATTGCAACTTTTGTCATCAAATTTTTATTAAAATACGGAAAATGGTAGTTATTTCAATATTATCAAACAGATAGATATCTTCAATTAAATTTCCACCTTTTTGAGTATTATAACCTGAATCTAGGTTTCACTAAATAGAAACACAATTTAGTGTTTTATTTATTAGCACAAATTACTATGACAAAATAAAATGTAATTATATGGAAGGAAATTTAACTTTAGAAGAAGTTACGGATATTTATATCATTAATAGTGATCTACCTTAACAAAATTTATATGACAAAATTAAGGAAAATATTATTAAAATCACTAAACAGGTTCTTTTGCTACGTCAGTAACACTAACCATTTGCGAGAAAAATTTTTGAGACTACATTCCGTTTAAATCTCAGTAAAATATGTTTTTAAAGTTTCATAATTTTTATAAATATTATGATGTTCTTTTATGTTCAAATTGTGTTTCATTGTAGGTACTACAAAATGGGACGATTTTAACTTCTATTATTGTTTCTAAGGGTGTTCCAAAATACTAAATGTACTTTTTCCCAGAAATTTAATGTTAACGAGCTAGAATGATATAGGACCTCTTCATAAAATTTTGTATTGATCTTTAACATTATTCTATTTAATTTTTTTAAAAACTGGAATTAAAAAGGTCCTATCTAATTCTCTTCCAGCAAAGACCATTTAAGTCCTTTGGGGCTTTAGAATTTTGCTGTTTGCACAAATGTACATTGCCAATAATAAGTGTACCAAATTTTAAAACAATTATATTACTCAAAATGTTAATTAAAAAATATATATTTTGAGTATGTAACACCGTTAATATTGAATTTTTGAAAAACCTGCTGTAGAAACCTGTCCCATTTTTTGTGATTAGAACAATCCCCTAAATTATTTATGCTTTATTTGCAATCACTTGTTATAAAAACTTACTTCTCGGTTTAACAAAATTTGACAATTTTATTTATTACATAATGCAAGAAACATTTTATTTTTATTTTTATTTTTTTTTTTCAAACATGATGTTTTATTTAGACGAAATATATAATACGTTTCATTTTTGGTTTGCTTAGATAGGTTCCTATTCTACTTACTTATTTAATGAAATCGATATTTTAGTATCTTTAACTATAATTTTTACGAATTCTTTTCTTTCAAAATGTTATTAGTTTTTCAAGATATGCCTATATTAATTTCTTAATTTTAGATATTTGCTTGAAATATATATTTTTTCATCTATAAAAATCTACTTTTTATTAATTACACACGACAAAAACAAGTTCAATGTGTGATGGACTGGACCATCATACCTATACGTTTTTGGGCTCGTTGAACGAAAACAGCTCGTGTTAAAAGTTATTTGAAGGTCAGCACTTGATTTTTGACGAAAATGCAATTATTGTCCCCGGATTCTGAAAGAGCGAGAAATTTGACTTTATTTTACAGATGTTATTTAGCTATTTTTTCATTTTTAATTTGGAGGTTAAATCCCCCTCTCGAATTTCTTAGGTTAGTATCTCGGATTCGGATTCAGCAAATCCAAGAGCGTGTGCATCTGGTGGTCTAGCTTTATCACACATTGTTTTTTTCTTATGGATCTGTATTTTATTACAAAGAATATTAAATTTAACATAGCTAATTCTTTTCATGCATTTAAAAAAAATAATGTCAGTATTTTCTTGAATGATGTATTTTTTATTGTAATTTCTTCTATTTTGGAACAAGAAAATAAAATATAATTAAACAACTGTGCATAATTCGCATAAGGCGAGTGGGATCATTTCACAAGCGAATAAAAGTGGAAATACCTAGGATTTTTTCTAATCCTATATAGCTTAGTTTAAAATGAATTCTTTAGCGCAAATTATTATTTTTTACAACACATTTTCAATGAATACTTGGGATGGCGTTTATCAATTGAAATATTTTATTTATTTATTTTTATAAATATATATTTTATTTATTTATTATTTTATATTTTTAAATTTATGCAGAAGGTGTTTTATTAAATTCACATTAATTCGTAAAAAAGTTAGCTCTGTAGTTTATTGTACTAAAGAAAATTTAAGTCTGACATCTTATCTCGTCTCTAGATTTAAAAAAAATGTACTTTTATATACAGTACGCAACGAGAAAATTCTTATTTTCTCATACAATAGGTAGAAATATTTGATTATTCGAATACAGCCTTTAAGGTTTCCGCGTTGTAGTCGGAAGTAACTATATCAGATTCCAAAACTTGTTTCACTCTCATTATAACAGATCCAGTTGTATCGAGTGACGCACGGTAGGTGTTTGGGTGTGCCCAGTCCCAAAAATGAATGATTATATTTAAAATCCATACACTTCTTTATCATAAAATCATACACGTTATACATTAACATGTGCTGTGACAGATAAATTATTTTCAATGTCACTGATTTACTCAGTGTTTCAAAGTAAGGTAAATTTTAAAAGTGGTTAGAATAGCGGCATATCACAATAATATAGAATCATATAAATTACGTAAAGTACAGGGTATTCTACAAGGTCTATGACAAACTTTGACAGATAGTAGCTGGGTTAATTTCAAACATTTTTGCTTATATGAACATAGGTCCGATTCGCTTTTGTTTAGAAGTTAGAAGCATTTAAAAAATATAATATTTCAATCAAAGTAGCTTGATAAATAAAAACGAAGGTTGCTATAACAATAATTATTATTTGTGCCATTTTGTTTATTCATTTGACACTTAACGTTAAAATGCTGAATAAAGTATGTATATTTATAACTGAATATTGTCTTTGGATATGGGTATTCCAATGGGAAAGCCAGACAAGCACATAGACAAGATACCCAAATAGACATCAACCTGCCCACACAGTCTTTAGTGCATCATTTCGTAGTCTTCGCGAATAATATAGCCGCGCTCCAAAAAAAGTCCATTCGTCCTACTGAAGTGAATGTACAAATTGAAGAAAATATAATAGATGCTCTGTCATTGACAACTCTTCAATTAGTGTTCGGCGTACAGCAAGTAATCTTCATTTATTATCGAATTTTGTATGGCGTGTATTGCACAGAGAATTGTTACATCCATTTCATCGTCAAAATGTACAAGCGTTACATGCTGAAGATACTCCTGAGCGATTAGAATTTTGTCGCTGGTTACTTCCACATGCACAATCTGATAGATTCATTTCGCTTTACTGGGGATTACAAAAATAATAATCATAATGAACATATCTGGGCGTTATAAAATTAGCATGCATTTAACTGAAAACGATTTCAACTTTTCAACGTTTGGGTAGCATTTTCAAAAATAATTTACTGCCGGTACATTGTACATGTTGTAAATGATCATTTAAATACAGATCTGTATAAAACTTTCGTAGAAACAACCTTTTTGATTTCATTGATGATGTAGGGCTTAATATGGTTCAAAATAATAATACGTATTATGAGCACGATGGTGCACCACCACATAAAGTGAGATAAGTAACTGCTTGGTTAAATGATCATTTCTCGAATAAATGGATGGGTCAACAATGTCCAATAGCATAGCCACCGCGTTCCCGAGATCTAAATCATTTGGACTCTTATTTATGGGGCGTATGAAGCAGCTGGTTTACCATGTTGAAATCACTACCAGTTAGCAGTTACTTGGAAAATTGATAAAAAGATCTTGTCTTAATTCAATAAGTAATTTATTAAAAATTTTATTCCCCAAATAATTTGGTGACTTATTGGTAATTGACAATTTAGAAAAAGGTGCCTGAATATTATTTTTATGCCTTGTATATACACCATGAGGACATACATGGTGTACTTCTATAAAATTTTTGCCTATTTTTAAAAACACAAATAAACATATCAAATATAAATAACGAACTTAAAGTAAAAATGTTGTACTGTTTAAAAATATCTCTACAGGTATGTTCACTGGGTACACCAGCAATACACGCAAAATACGCTTCTGCGAAATAAAAACAAAATGTGAGAGGGTGGAATCACCCCAGAAACAGACACCATAACGAAGACACGATTCTACTTGAGCATAATATAAATTTATTAACTGATTTTTGACTAAAATTGTTTTCATGTTTTTAAATAAAATATTTACTGAACTCAAGGTGGAAACGAGATGGTTGCAGTGCACTTTCCAATTAAGGATTTCGTCGAAATAAATTCCCAGAAATTTAACACTGCTTAAAGCGTCATTCTCAATGATACAGTTGTTAATTTTTATTGTTAGGTCCTCACATTTTTTCTGTCTGTTATGAGATGTTATCATTTTCGTTTTATTTACATTTAAATATAAATAGTTTTGATTAAACCATGCACATATATTTCAATCGTTTTATTAATATCGATGTTAAGATTTTTATCCGAGTTACTTGAAATAATCAAAGATAAATCGTCGCCATACATGGTAAAAGCTTCGTTTCTAATTAATTGGCATATAAAATAAAAAGCACTGGTCCCAGAACAGAGCCCTGCGGTACAGGGCACTCGCCTGCATCAATACTTCTAACGACTTCGTAAAAAGAGTGTGTAGCCGTTATAGTGGACCGCCCTGAACGAAATCCATGTCGGTTATTAGTTAAAAATTATTGTTTCGTTTAAGAAATTTGTCAAACGTCCCAAACAAGTATATTCAAAAGTCTGTGAAAAGCTGAGAGGAAGAGTAACTGGTCTGTAGTTTTTTAATGATAAACGATCACTTTTTTTAAAAATACCTTTATAATGTATTAAATTACACCGATTTTAATACAGACGTTAATGAAACAAGATTTAAAAATTGTGTAGCGGCTTTATACTCACTGGAGAATTATACAAAAAATGGTTTATTCTATAAAACTGACTTGCCTAATTTATTTACATAGCTGTTATACATCGTCATAAATGGTACTAACTACGTATGTTCAGTTCAATTTTTTTAACCAACTACCAAAGGGGCACCATAGATTGATCTAGCGACTAAACCAGGAGCTGCGTACGCTACAGCAGGGGCTACAACTGGACCACTGTAGACTGCGGCACCAGGTAATTGTTCGCTTACGACTTGTCCTCCTGGGGCAACAGAGGAAATGACGCTGCCTTCGGGTCCTACGAGGGTAGTCCTGCTGCTGGGTCCTTGAAGGACTTCCGCGGCAGAGGCGATAGCCAGGAAAGCGAAGAAAGCCAGGAAAGTCTAAAAAAATACAAGAAGATGAAAAATTATTGGTTAAATAATGGAATATTTACTGATATACAAATATAATTAAGTTCCTTTCAAAACGATGCATTAACATTTTGGTTTTGAATGCACAATAAGTTTCGTTTACTAATATCGCGATACAGTCAGTGTTGGTTAAATATAACCTTCAAATTATATGTCATATCTTAAAATGTCATAGCTACTCAAAGCCCTCTAGCACGAAGCATTGCTTTTCCGTTTGCAACACAATTTCAAGAATATAAATCTTTGACTGTATCTTTATCCACACATGTACTACGCTTTGCCCAAAATTTCCTTCGCGAATTGGAAAGCATTATAATCAGAAGTACTAAATTACGCGATAAAGTGAATAGCTACACTTGTATTTGATGTCAACTCACCAAATAACGCGTTATTTGAGAATCATCATGGAGATTGAGGCCGCTTACATTTGTATTATATGAGTCTCAATTATTATTTTCTATCACGCGCGCTCGCTATGGGACCTATAGCGTAAGGGGTTATGTGCACGGAAAGTGCCAACGCTCCAGCGTTGCGCTATGAAAATAACATTACACCGTTTTACTATGTGTCACTTTCCGTACACACAACCCCCTACGCTAGAGGTTCCATAACGACTCGCATTTGTGATAGAAAGTAGTATGTGCAACTCGTTCGGAAAAGTTGCCATGGCGCCACTAGGGCGCTTTCCGCACTCACTTCGCTCGTGCGTCAAGTGCACCCGTGTGGCGCTATTGGCAACTATTCCTCACTCGTTACACAATGTACTATTATGCTTTTTATCCAGGATCCATTCCACTTCTAAAAACTTATTTCCATTTTAACTCCATTTTTATGCAACCGTATTAAACCATGCTCGAAGCTAATGCGTTGCAATAGACAATGCTTGTGTAGCCACATCAATCCGAGAAATGACGCAAATCATTTTTATGTATCAAAAAAGACCGCCACTCGTGTTGTCGCCTGTCTAACGCCATTAATAATGACAAAATTAGGACGCTAAGTCGTGGTTACACCTACGTTTAATGCAATATAGTGCGATAATTAACGGCATTAGACGTAAGTGTAGCCCCAACATCATCGCCTAATGTCTAACGCCATTAATAATGACGAAATTAATGCGCTAAGTCGTGGTTACACCTACGATTAATGCAATAAAGTGCGATAATTAACGGCATTAGACGTAAGTGTAGCCCCAACATCAGAAAATTTGAATGGTATTTCTTTTGATTAACAACAAGATTATTTTAATTGCTTCTTTTATACACTTTACTGACAAGAAGCATAAGACAAATATTGCTTAACAAATAATTAAATCAATTTCATATATTTTCAGATATAGTTAACGGAGTATCAATCAGAAAATAAATACAGAAAAACACAAAAGAAGGTTAAGGGCTTGTTGGTATTAAATACATATTGATACATTTGAAAGACTACCAACAAACATGAAATAAAAATAGTTCCAGAATATCCATTATGTCTCTATGTGGGTACTTACGTAGAAACTCATTGTGTACAATTACTTGGTCCAGTCGAACTACTAACTATTGCCGAAGTGACAATGCCTTCATTTTATAGTATGTCCCAACCTTGGTGATTGATTAATGAATGATTATTATGCAGCCTGGCCCCTGAATTTTTTCTTATATAATTTGCATCTTATTTTGCTAATTGTTTTTGTGACTGTTATCAAACAATGGAAGTCTAACTGTATAATTAGAATAAAATTCCTGCACCGGAAGACAAAAACAAATATCGGACGAAAAAATAAATACTTAGCATACATAATAATAATCCATGAATTAATATAGTGTGAATATAATTAAGTTTCATGAAAAGTGTGTCTGTTACATTTTTTACTGGTTTAGGTATTTCTGCCATAGTGGAAAGAACAAAATAACAATTTCAATGTGGCACATGTATCCAATTAAATAAAAATGAATAATTGAAGATCCTACTACAAATAGATAATTACAGGTATGTACAGGGTGAGTCAGAAAGAATGGGTCAACAATAAGTTGGAGATACTAGACACCAAAATTTATGTTTGAGCACATACGAATGTCGCTGATTTAAGAAATACAAGGTATACATTTTATTTTGACATTTCTCAACAATTGAGAAAGTTTTAATAGCATGACTCTGAAAATTGGTAGTATTAGGTTTTTTTATGTATTATGTATAAATCAAAACATATTTGTTTATCTGTTGAGCTATGCTTAGAAAAATGCTTAAAAATCTAAAAGGACATTCAATTCTTCATAAAAAATATACTCTTGTTTAGGTTACCTAACTTTATTGGTTTCTGAGATATTTGCATTTAAAAGTTTCGATGTATTTTGTGGTGATTTTCTTTGAGGCGTTGATATTGCTATTTCTTTTCTAAGTAGGCTTTGTCAATAAATATTAACGTATTTTGCGTGCGTGTGATTTATTATTCGTGCAAAATTATTAGCTAGTGATCAAAAAATGCCACAACATAACAGTGAGATGCATGATATGATTTGTGTTTTTGCCCAGGCTAATTTTAATGAACATGCAGCGGCCCGAAGATATAAACACATGTACCCAAATAGATTGCAGCCTAATTATAAACTTTTCAGAAATCTTTACAACTGCTTAGGCGAATCTGGATCTTTTCGACCAAAAAGTAACCATGATACACCAAAATCCATCACAGTCGATGAGGAAGAGGAAATTTTAATTCATGTCTCGGAAAGTGCGGCAACGGGGGTAAGCCAATCGTCCATTTGTAGAATTTTGAAAAAAGAAATGCTCCATCCATATATACTCCGGTTCAGCAGTTATTGCCTCAAGTTAACCAGCTCGCCTATAATTTGCTCAGTTTGTACAAAATATGCAAATAGAAACCCAGCTTTCCTCAATAAGATTCTATTTACCTATGAGGCGACATTTACTAGACGGAAAGTTTTCAATTGGAAGAACAATCATTTGTGGGATTCCGAAAATCCGTATGCTGTAAAAGAAAGACACTTTCAGCATGAGTTTAAGGTGAATATTTGGTGTGGTTTAATTTCTGTTTTTTTCATAGGACCTTTTGAATTATCACCCAATCTAACTGGACCTCATTATTTAAACTTTCTTCAACATAATTTAAACGAGCTTCTAGATGATGTACCACTCGCTTTAAGAGAGAGTATGTAGTTTATGCACGACGGTGCGCCACCACATTTTGCCTTGCCAGTACGCCAGTATTTAAATGAACATTTTCCTCATTGGTGGATTGGCCGTGGAAGTGAATTTTGTTAGCCACCGAGAAGTCCAGACTTAAACCCTCTGGACTTCTCAGTATGGTCAAACTTGAAGGATGTGGTGTGAAGAAATTAATTCTGTTGAGGAGTTGCGGCAGAAAATACAAATAGCCGCGAATGCATTTATAAATAATAAGGACATTTTGTTTAATATTTTACAATAGAGTGTATAGTATAATGTATTAAGTTATGTGGTGGACACTTCCAGCATTTGACTTAAGGGTTGTTATTATTACTATTATCAATAATTGAGAATAAAAAATCACCACAAAATACATACATTGAAACTTTTAAATGCAAATAATTTAGAAACCGATAATGTTAGGCGACCTAAACGAGAGTACATTTTTTATGTAGAATTGAACGTTTTTTTAGATTTTTAACTTTTCTCAAGCATAGCTCAACAGATAAAAAAAATATGTTTTGATTTACCTAAATAATACGGCGAAACTAGCGCCCTCTAGGAGTAACGCTTCGTAATACGTAATTCTCACACCAAAAAAACCCAATACTACCAATTTTCAGAGTCATGCTATTAAAACTTTCTCAATTATTGAGAAATTTCAAAATAAAATTTAAACCTTGAACACCCTGTATTTCTTAAACCAGCGACATTCGTATAAGGCATGATGAACTCAAACATAATATTTTGATGTCTAGTATCTCCAGCTTATTGTTGACCCATTCTTTCTGACACCCTGTATATTTAATGTTCTCTCTAGAGGAAACAATATGAAAATGTTATAACTACTGTATTTGTATACAGGGTGTTTGTAAATAAGTGCGAAATATTTTAGGGGTGGTTGTCGAAATTATTTTGTGAAAAAAAGTCTATATTAACCTAGGTCGAAATATGCTTTGTTCCCGAGATACACAGAGTGTTTAAATTTTAATTTTCTATTTATTTTTATTATTTCAGAGTTTTAAAGATATTTACTCGAACTTGTATCTCTTGGAGGGATAAATGTGCATTTTTTGGGGTGATCCGAATATTTCTACTTGCACCAGTGGCGTTCGTGCGAGAATGCCACAATCTCTTTTAATAAAAATAATGGTATGTCACTGACTTTTCCCGTTTTGATATTTTTTTAGAAATCCGCCGTCAATTCAGAATGAAATTGGTCTCTTCAATTTTCTTGAGAAAAAAATAAAACATATTTTATTGCAAGTTTTGTATTTTTAATTTCTGTTGATACATTATCTAGTGGGCTGCTGTCAATATTTCTAAATAAAATACAACCATCAAATTTCGAAATAATTAATAAAAATAAATACAAAATTAAAATTTAAACACTCTGTCTCTGTATGTAGAAATAATATTTTCAAACTTACTGTTCATATATTATTAACACATATATTTCTCATTTACAGATTTTACTTTTTGAATTTATAATTCAGTCAATTATCGATAGATATAAAGAAAAATAATGATATGATCAAAGTAATTGTGATTAGTTAAAAGAGTCAGGATCTTCCAAGGCTTTCATAGACTCTAGCAAATTGGAACGCTCTATATGTTAAATAGATTATAAATAAACATTACCTTTTTTTTGTAAGTACCTAAGATAGCTGTTTTAGAACCAGACCACGCCCAGTGTGTACAAAAAAATACAACTAGCTCTTGATATTTAAAAAACTCACCCATCCTAATATAAATAACCTCCACCGCTCTGACATTGACAAGGATTGTGGCAGCTGTTTAAAATATCACATTTCACTTTCATCCACAGTCGTAATCCCGCTATTGACTGGCAGTTTCAGCATCTTTCTTAATCTAAACATGTTTTCAATAGTTTTGTAATTCTACCTATGAACCTTCAATTATACTGTTGGTCCTTATACTTTATTAAAATAGTTATTATCTCCTTTCTACTTTTATCTTTGATAATATCTAATGTTGATCCATATGGCGCAAATTTAATTTTAAAGTTTTGCCACGTAATTGGAACTTTATAAACTTTCCTCTAAATTTCCATTATTCCCTCTATTTAAAATGAGATCTAGGTACTTAATAATATATTTAAAATTTGTAAATAATTAGGGATATAATATAGAGTTACAGAAGATTGAAAATGTTGAGGTAGGTATTACTTTATTAATGATCAAGAAATATGGATTTCTTGTTCGATATTGGAAATACATCAAATATACTAGAAGTATTTAGAAAAAAAGGAGTTTAATTCATACAAAGGCAAAAGTTTTCCAGCTTTTACATTAGTACAAGTTTTCCAGCTTTTACATTAATAAGTAACAAAAAGCTTGTTATTATTGAAAAGTCGGACATAATTAATGCAAATCCTTAAGGGAATTAAAAAGTTGCAGGCATTTATCTAGAGCACAGATTTTAGTAGAACTAAGTCTACGGGTGAAGAAAAAACATATTTTATATCAAAGTATAAAAATAGGTATATTTATGTAGTAAGCACTTTTCTATACCATATAATTGAAATAGATAAAAATGTTTCATTATGGTATCTCTACTTTTAGGTGTAAATTTCTAACAGAGGTATCAAATGAATGTATATATCGTTCTAAACGCATTTTTCCTTTATTTACATATATACTTAACATTTTATAAATGAACATATTTACAAGACGTTTACAAATTTATTTATCGTCAGCCCATGCAGACCAAGCAGAATGCGCTTCTACAGCAGGAGCAGAATAAGTTGCAACAGCAGGAGCTGAATGTACAACGCTATGAGCAGAATGTGACACTGCCACAGGAGCAGAGTGAGCTACAACAGCCGGGGCCGAGTAGGCGACGGCAGCAGGAACGGAATGAGCTACCACTGCAGGAACCGAATGGGCTACTACAGCAGGAGCAGGGTGGACGACACTCTGGGCACTGTGGGATACAGTTAACGGAGCGGAACGGGTAATGGTAACAGCAGGAGCGGAATGAGCTACCACAGCAGGAGCAGAGTGAGCCACTACAGCAGGAGCAGAGTGAGCAACTACAGCTGGAGCACGGTGCACTACACTCTGGGCATTGTGAGATACTGTTATGGGTGCGGAATGGGCAACGGCAACAGCGGGGGCGGAGTGAGCTACTACTGCTGGAGCAGAATGAGCTACTACAGCAGGGGCAGAATGGGTTACTACAGCAGGAGCAGAATGGGCTACTACAGAAGCAGCACGGTGCACTACGCTTTGACCAGAATGTGACACTGTTACTGGAGCAGAACGAACTACCGAAATAGCAGGAGCTGCGTGTGCTACGACAGCAGGAGCCGCTACAGCTGGAGCGGAATGGGCGACAACAGTTGGAGCTGAGTGTACAACGGTGTTTGCAGAGTGGGATACTACAGAGGGAGCGGAATGGGCAACGACAGCTGGTGCAGAATAAGTAGTTATCGCAGGTACGGAATGAGCAACGACAGCTGATGTGTGGGAAACCACAGGGGCAGCGTAGGAAACTGCACCAAGATGTCCATTAGTGATGATTTGTCCTCCTGGAACTACCGAGCCTACAAGGGTTGACCTGGTGCTTAGTCCTTGCAGAACTGTTGGTGCAGGAGCAACGACTGAAGCGTTAGCAACAGTCAGAGTAGACAGAACTGCAATGAGCACCTGAAATAGTATTAATGTAAAAAATTTAATTATTTTACATCTGAAATGTTCTCAGATGTAATAAGTTGTTCATTATTATTTTATTGTTTCTTACACAAATGAACTTTTTCGACAAAGCTTTAAAAGAAATGCTACATAATGTTAATTTGCAAGGTATGTATTTTAATTGGTCCAAAGGATGTTAATTCGCTTACCAGGGAGTTCATATTAATTAATATAGTAGTATTTGGTTTTTGCTGTAAACTGAAGTTTGACTAAGTGTGCTTTAATTTATACCCAAGACGTAACCTTGCTGTAAATTTTATTTGAATATTTGAATATTTATGTGATACCTGCAACTTGAAAATTGGTAATATTGGACTATGAATGAGCAAATGTTGCATCACATTCTTTTAAATTATTTTTCGTAGTAAAAATTTTTATTTTTTCTCAATATGTCTTTGTTTATGCTTGTAATAAAAAATGATGTTTTTTACTGAGATGAATTGACAGTTAAAATCAGTTAATTAATTAATTAATTAATTAATTGCCAATTAGAATAATTTTTTAGTTTTTGATGTTGGTTTAAATGGTTTATTTTAGACCTTCTTGTGTATTGTTCATAGCTAGAGTGACCCTTTGCCTTATAAGGGATAAGTATTATGTTAAGATATGAAAATCAATATCGCAAGTTAACCTTTCCTAATTGAAGTAATTGACAATTAACAATCAATGCGATGATACCTATCAATTTGCAAAAATTAATTGTGTTTTAATTCTAAATTATCCATAATTTTTTTAATTAATTCAATATTGTAATACCGGGCCTTAGTGAATTATATTTTATTTTTATATAAGTACTTTCAATTTCAGTTTGTCTTAAAATAAATCTATTATTTTTTTTCAACGCTAATATGAATATGTCATTAAATTAACTTATTATGCAAATTTGTTGATACCGAAAAAGGTTACTAAATCCATTAAGGTGTAGCCACTTAATTAGGTATGTATTATTATTCGACAATTAAAATTAGTTCATTATAAGATATTTTCAATATATTACTTAAGTGCTAATTTATGTTGCAGATAAAATTAAATATATATTTAACATAGTTCTTTTCTTTTGACTATAGACAAATTTCATTTAATTTAGGATAACAAAATTTTTACTGACAATCCAATATTGATTACAAAATTATAATTTCCGGATCATAATGTTAATAAATGAAGATATAATAATGAAAAATAATATTATTGCATTATATTGTTATACCACACTACAGATTATGTAAAAATAAGGTAAAAGGGAAATAGAAAGATAAAAAGGAAAGAAAAGATGAGGAAAGTCAAAGAGTATGACTACATATTTCATATTATTTGTAATTGTATATAATCTATATACAGGTATATTCTTGCAGAGATTTGATAGTTTTTTGCACTTTCAATTTGGTTTTAGTACGCTACATATAGGGAGTATCAAATTCATCTGCAGATAGCTGACAGTATGAATACTGAATCACATCTCGCAAATCATTTACATACTAAAAAAATAATGGTCTTAAATTGGACCCCTTAGGTACCCCTGACAAAATTAAAAGATTTTGCGCCTCTATACCTCTATAGCTTACTTTGTAGCTAATACGTAGAGGTCATTATAATAATATATGTTCTTGTTGGTATAAAAATTTTGATATTGCTCAAGTGCTTTTAAAACGTCACTTTACTAAGAATAAAACTTACCTACACTTGTTGCATCTCGATAAAATGTATAGTTCTTGTAATAATTAGATTTCAGTTTCCTCTAGTGCACTGAATGACGAACAGACGAACATTTATGAGTATTCTATTCTAACTCACCTCTATTCAAAAGTAGGTGTTGCTCAGAACTATATCGCGGAAAATATTGACTTTTGAATAGAGATAATTTGGTCTAAATCATAAAAAATAATTAATTTGCTTCAAATTTATTGAAGAGGTCAAATTTAAATACAATAAAATACCCTTAGTACTCTCCATCTTTGTAAAAATTTAAATTTAGCTTAGAAACTATGCCATTCTAGCTACATGCAACAAATACGTATTTTTTAAAGTGAATAAAGTAGCATTTCAACAATAACTTAATTTTTTTCAAAATTTCTAGTAACAAAGTAAACATGACAAGAACTATTTAAAGTTTTCTTAGTGACCTGTATGTTTTAGCTGAACAACGATGTTATGTTCATATCCAGCTGCTGCAAGAAACTCTCCATGATAAAATATAATGAAATATCTAAAAAGTAATAGTTATAGTAAAAAACTATATAAGAGATATCCTGAAAGGGCCATAACTTTTTAAGGAAGCAAGATTGAACAAAGGAATTTTATTATTATTTAAAAATTTGAAATTATAACATGAAGAGCAATTCTCTTGTGATACTTTTCAACCGAAAATTTTGTAAAAATTTACAACTCTGGATAAAGCTGCATGAAAACGTTTACATTTTCCGAAATTTAGCAAAGCCTAAACTTTGAGTCCTACTTGGCTTAAAAAATAATATATTTTTCTAATGAAATATACTTTTACTGCTGAATATTTTATTTATATGTACATAAACTACAAGGAATCAATAAATACTATCGCTGAGTATGTTATTAGTAGTAGAGGCCATGAGGCGCAGCAGCATAAGCCACAGGGGCGGCGTGTGCAACTGGATGGGCGGCATATGCCACAGGGGCGGCGTAGGCGGAAGGAGCGACTACAGGGGCAGCGAGGGTAACTACGGGAACTACTGGGGCGACTACGGCGCTACGGGCTACGACGGCTGCGCTAGGAATTATGCCGGCGCTGGCTGCGGCCAATAAGACGAAGAATGCGATGGCTGCCTGAAAATTTGTAAAACAGATTTCATGATTGTCAGTTTCACAATAAATGAATGTTAATTCTACCCACATGCCTACTCGTGCATACATTAGAAAAGTATTAATTCATTGACTTAATTGTTCAGCACAAAAAGAAGTTAGGAAATTCAAGTTGTATTCTTTTAAATTTTCTGTAATACGAATAGTTACAGTGTGTCCTCTGTACATAATAGTTCTATTTGGCTTCCAAAAATGAAGTTATTTCTAGAAGGACAAGAAATAGTATTCAGTTTTTTTAAATAATTAACTCTTTTTAGTGAATTATAAAGGGATTATTTTGAATCAAGAAAATGTTTATTTGGTATACATGTATAACTTTAAATAACCTAACCTAACCTAACCTTAAATAGTAAAATGGTTCTTCAGACGAGATTTGTTTATTTCTGTAAATAATTTTACTTAATTTAAAATTATAATAAGCTTGTACATATGTAAGTAAATTTTTTATTTGTGTATGTATAAGCATATTTTGTATTCGAACTAAATTATTTCACTTAAATCGATACATCATGACTGAAGAACGAGTTTATTAATGCAAGATTGTATGTTTTAATAGGTAAAGTAAATAAATGAATATTTGAACCAAATTATCCTTTTTCTCTAGTACTTATAAGAACTTAAAAAATTTTATGTCAGTAAACGTCGTTATTTTTAACACAAGTCAACTAGAGTCCGCATGATATTTGTTGATATATGATTCCAAGAAAACGCCTGCGTCATTTTCTTGGAATTAACCGCATTCGACACGCGAGGTAGAAATATATTGGCGAAAAATTTCAAGGCACGCCCCTGCCTCGGTAAACTGTTCCAGTAGTTCCGTTACCAGGACTTTATTGGCTTATTCTTTTCTTGGAATTCGATCTCAATAAATATTGTACGAACTGTAGAAGTTTTCAATTGCAATCAAACTGACACTAGTGAAAAGATACAAATATCTTGAATACACGTATAAATCCAAATTGCAAAAATAACATTTGTGGATACGACCATCTTAATACAAGAAACTACGAGTATATTGTTGATGTTTATGGTGCAACATAAATATAGAAAAATACATTAACACCATGCAATAAATTACTGCCTGTAGCAAAAGGAAATATTTATGAAAATCTATTTTTCTAAGGTTAATATACAATTATTTTAGATTTTTCGTATGGAAATATACCTAGTTCACATAAATTTTGTAGAATTGTTGCTGGTAGGATTCATTTAAAAAAACTTATAAGATCAAAGCACATTATTTTTTTTGTTTCATTTGAATTAAGTATATTTCAAAATAATTATACCATTTTTCAATTTTGAAATATAAATCTTTTCTGTCCTCTTTCTAATAACGTAGTTAACAAGTTCTTAGCTACTCTGATTCTCTGGAAACAATGCACTTTATTTGCTCATTGATTAAACATGTGTAACAATTGTGATCACAGAAAGAGATCAACCTTTAGCCAAAAATAAAAATTGTTTAAATTTTGTACTGATATTGTTAGATATTAGACAATCTAGGAAAAACTAATTTAAAGACTTTTACAATCGAAAAACAAAAGTAAACGTAATTTTTGGAATTTATTTTGTAATCTTACAACTACTGAGTCTCTTTTATATACAAAGGGTTGTTGATATAACATTCTACCCCCTTTTCCTTTTTACTTTCATACTTTCTTGTGATTTCAAAACTGTATCTTGAATGTTGCATTTCGGAGGACACAAGCCACACTTATATATTTTCTTGTTAGAACATTCTTTTAAATCTTTGGGTAAAGCATCTTCTTAATACCTATTACAGTGACTTATGGTAACAGTCTAAAATGTTTATAGTTAGCATACTTTTTTGGCCATATTGTAGATAGATATACCTACTAAACCTTGGAAATTATAAAGTGTTGTCAAAAAAAAAACATATATCCTGCTTGTATTTCCGAAATGCAACGTACAATAATATATATATTTTTAAAATCATAAAAAAATTTTCTACACTGGCCTATATGACTTTTTTCTAAATATGAAAGCAACAAAGATAAAAGAATAGAATGTTAGGTAAATAACCCTAAAATAATGAGTAAACAAAGCATCTATCTAATAGTAGTTAATTGTTATTGAGCTAGTACTTGCGAGGAATTTCATGTTGCCCTGTATAGTGCGTAAGAGTGCATATGTAGATCAACTGATGCCACCATAATCAGACATTTTGTTTTTATAGCTAGTACCGGCCTTGATGATGTAGATTGGCCCTCCGTAAATAGTGTCATATTTCCTGGCCTATTTGTCACAAATAGTTAATCGTCAAAGGTACTAGTACTTTTGGTACTTTTTGAATATTTACATATTATCTTTCATGTATCTACTTACTTAGAATTGAATACATAATCCCACATAGGCCTATATATTACCGATAAACAAGAAAGCTTACGTTTAGTAAACTTAATATGTACAGCGTATGGCTAAAACATGGAAAAGTACCAGAATAAGTAATATTATGCATAATAGATCCTAAAATTTGTGTACCTAGTTTAAACATCACAAATTAAACTATAGTATCTATGTATCTTTTCACTTTTGTTGTAAAAAATTCCAAGTTTTGGTAATGATGTAAAGAAAATTTTTGAATATATCATATTTCAGCAGAGTCTATAACCAAATTCACTGACAAGTTCCATAAAAAATATTTATGTTTATTTGATTAATATTGAGTTTGCAGATGCTATCAAGTGTAGTATATAGGGTGTTTCATTTCCAGTGGTGGTAATAGTTTAAATAACTAGATGGATTTCACAGGGTCTAACGACACTTACAGTGTACGATAATTCAATAAACAAAGAAATCTAAATAAAAAATTTAGATAAAGGAACGAATACACTGAAGATGAATTTTTCGAGACAAAACGTTTGATTTTGGTTCGGGCTGACGCAGTACAATATTGGGGGTCATGGAGGCTTGCAAAAAATGAAATAAAATTTCCAGGGTCCTATTTAAAAAAATGAAGTTGATGATGGTGCTGGAGAGACAAAACGTTACATCTAAAAATTGATTATGCCATTCGATAGAGGGAAAAAAGTGGCCATGAGAAAGTGTTCTTCTTTTTTCAATATCACCTCAAACCAGGCTGAAATGAAACAAAAACGGATTACCAAAATTTCGTTTTTTTTTCAAATATTTCGAAAACTAATAATGTTAGCCTTGATTTTTTAGAGGCATATCGATGGCCCCCTGATTACGTAACTTTACCCCCATTTAAGCTACTGCGTACCTCTTACCGTTTCCGAAATCCCTGCAGTGAAAAGCGAATTTGTAACAGCCTGTATAAATCATTTGGATTGGTATCCATATTAACGACGCTCCTTTCATGTGTGGCTGTTATGGGGAATTCAGGCATTTATTCGAGGCAAAACCTTTGATACGATATATTCAGGTAAACCCTTGTGTCTGAGTCCTGCACTGAACAACGTCTTTAAATATATAGCGAATGTAGTCAATTTTATAGAATTTCGTGAGGGAGTCTTTGTTGTACTACAATAGTGTACGATGACTCTTGTAGTACTGTTCTATCCCTATCACGTTAGAATTGCGACAGGAAATTAATATTTTCCATAAACAAAAAGTATGCAAAGATGACAAATATTTTGTTCATGCGAAAAACTAAATATACTGAATCTCTGTCCATGGGAAAAGAATATACACCTCTTAAAATCGACGTAAAAAATTACAGTTTTTATAAAAAAAGACTATGGCGAAAAAAAATGAATGTACAATCAAGGATTGTTTTTCTTCATATTACAGTAATTTTGTGAGCTCGAATAGATTTATTTCTCTCGAAAAATGAAATCATTTGGTTTGAGGAATACTTTAAAAATAAATAATAAATAATTAAAATAAAATATGGATAAGTTCAAAATATAAAATAAATTAAAACGCAAATGGATTTCTGAAAATTGAACTAGTCATCAGTTAGCGAATCAAGAAATACTCCCCTGCGAGAGACATTGACGTACTCTCTATCTCTTCAAGCTAACCTCTCTTTTTGCATATAAGAATAAATTCTCTGCTAGAATTTATAGTGCCAAAAATGTGATGACCTGCCTCAAGCTTTCAATCGTATACTACAATTTGACAGTCGGACACCCGACATATATCGGGTTTTTCAATTGTATTGTCCGACTGAAAGCGTGAAGGGGGTTGCAATTGAGGGTTGTCTCCTAATTCCTAACTCTTGATCTTGGTGTACATTAGGAGGTAAGTCTTTGCAATGCTATCTTAATTTGTGTTTTAATTAATTCCTGTTAACACCTTCCTCTCGTGACGTCGTATAGTTGTACGAGGAAGGGCTAGTCGATTTTCTCCAAATTGCTATACTTACTTTTGTTAGCTGAAACAAACCCATCTAAAAAAACAGCTGTCTTTGTATTGTTGTTTTCCCACATATTTTAACAATTCTTATCTCTGATTTGGAATTCCTACATCATTTCTGTATCGGTTTTCGTGAATAATTATTAAATATTTTTCCTTGCACATGCCTACAAGGTGGGGATAACTTGTTCAAAATTGTGATTTTACGGTTTATTTGTTCTCATAAACTAGGCTTTGTTACACCGCCATAGAAAGTTACAATTATCATTGCCTAGTGGTTTCAGTTTTGCAACTTAAATTGTTTCTATCCCATTTTTTTTAATTTCATTTTTTCTTAATATTCGTATTTTCACATTTACATTAATGATATAAAATAATAACAAGAAAATCATAAACCATGTGTATTTTTATTACTTAATTAACTATTTAGTGTACAAACTACAAAAAAGAATTAAAATGCTTAGTAGTAGAGACCATGAGGAACTCCAGCATAAGCCAGTGGACCAGCATGTGCATATGGGTGGGCGCCATATGCAATTGGGGCGCCGTGGGCCACAAATGGTGATGCATTAGGAATAAATGAAGCACCATGAGCGACTACTCCTGGAGCAGCATAGGCGGAAGGAGCAACAAAAGATGATGCACCAGGGATTATTCCAGCATTGGCCACGGCCAATAGAGCGAAGAAAGTGAAAGCTACCTGGAAATTTATTACAAAATTAGTAAATTTTAATTTTGTTCTGAAAGAAAATTCTGTTAACTCGATATCATCAACATTCTTCGTATTGTTAAGGGAGGGTGAATACTTTAACTATATCCGCTGTATTATTTGAGGGCATACAAACTGAAACTATGCGGACAAAATAGAATTTTATAGCAAAATATACGCATTATATTACTTTTTTTTCAAGATAAGTTTTGTGCTATACAGGGTGTCCGGGAAATGGTAGGCGATAGTAGGCAATCTTTTGAATTCCGGTATGACTTAAAAATAAAGCGTTATTGGGGATCAGCCTGTGGTCAACAGCTCTTGAAATTGACAGTTCAAAATCAATCTTTAATTATAACTTTTTTGTTTTTTCATTTGAGGCTGTTTCTATTAATATATTCAACTTTCTCACAGCTACTTTATTGGCCCGAGGACAAAGCGAATTATGCAATCTTTGTGAAACTTATAGGCTTAGTTTTTTCAATTTTCATAGCCGTTTTTAAGTCATTCGAACATTTTAAGTGAAAAAGTACATACCGATACAAAGAACCGTTTTAGAAGAAATCATGAAGATACTTTCGATAAATAGATAGTGCTAACTACACAAACATGTCATTAATTGAACAAAATAAGGACGTAATTAAAATATGTCCCCAATAGTATCGTCTTAGTACGCTTCCTAGTATGGATAAAAAAACAACTATACTTTGTTACTTAGTAAAGTACGAAAGTACGAAAATTGCGGTAAAAATTGAAAATTGTAGTAGGCCTATTAATTTTTTTGGATCCAAGACTGCAAAGAACCCCTTGTCCACAAAGTAAAATCTAAATTAAATACATTAATATAACAGGACATATAGCACAGCTTTTACTCAATAATTATCTAAATTTAATAAGAAAAAAAAAGTAGGAACGAAAAGTCGATTTTCAATTTTTATCAGGAGCTAATAACTCTCTTATGGGTGAACCCAATCAAAAAGGAATATATAAACCCGTGACATTATTATTGCTAAATCCATCATTTCCTTGACACCCTGTATTGAAATTTATGACGTTGCAATATTCCGCCGATATAATTCTATTATCTCACCATTTAAAAAACCGACATGAATCTGGGTCCGCCCAAATAATAGAAATTTATTTAAGGTCACAAAAAGATCAGAAGATTAAAATTTAGAAATTTAGAAGGATTCCTGTCACTCTCAAGATTATTTTGAAGTTGACTGTACCCAATTTACATGATTTATCTTAAAAAACATCGAATCTAAATTCATATGATTTCCTTCAGTTTTTTTTATAAAGTTATTTATTCAAAATATGCAAGAGATTGATGTTCAAGACAGTTAAATACAGAAAGTTTTAAGTTCTGTTGTTAAAATAACGGCGATCGCAGCTCTAGCTGTTCGAGTTATTTTGAAAAAGGAGACAACTTTTTATTTCTGCGAATTTTTGAAATCTGTTAACACTTGATTATCTATACATTTTCGTTTCAAAAACATTCACCATGTTGTTTGGAGCTTTTTTTCTTTAGTTTCCTCGCAATGCTATTTAAATGTTTGAGCAGGTATTCATGATATATCATTGAAAAACTTAAAAGAATATTTTCGTTCGATGCAATTCAATTGGCGTCCATAATAACAAATAAAATTAAAAGGGAATGATCATGATCAATGTCGAAACCAAAGGCTACAATGAAATTCTTTGCAAAATGTTACTGTAATAAAATTTTACAGATTTTAAAAAATTGTAAGAATAAAAAAAATATTATGTCTTCCAATGCTCTTTCTTTGAAAATATCTCGTTGTTAGTAACAGAATGGTCTAAAACTTTTCCCAATTAATCGTTTTTTTTTTATAGTTTTCAAAATTTTAGTACATAGAATAATAAAATGGTCCACCCCGTGTACTTTTCAGAACCAAAGAAAAAATTATTGCATATCCAAATGTTACTGATGTTAACATATTTCAACTGAATATTTCTTTGGGTGAAGTTACTATTTGTCTAAAAAGAGGGATTTAACTTACAAAGGAGTACTGTGGTTTATTAAAGTTAATTTAAAAAAAAGTTGTTCGATACTTACGAAGGATTTCATGATGTCTTCTAATGTGCGTAAGAGTGCGTATGTGGATCAACTAATACCATCAAAATCAAACAATTTGTTTTTATACCTAATATCAACCTTGAAAATGTAGGTTAACCCTTCATAAACAGTATCATATTTCCTTGTTTATTTGTCATACATATTTAATTATCCAAAGTATTAGTAGTGAGTATGTATTTTTTGAAATATTTACATATAATCTTTCAAATATCTACTTATTTATTATATACTGAATATATAATAATCCGGTTAGGAGTAAAGATTAGAGGTTTGCAGCAGCTACGGAAAATTACAAACAAATTATTGTCATGAAACCTTATAAAACTAATTATGAAAAATATTGTGAGAGAATAAAAATGACACATTGGAAACTGCAAACAAATTTTTAAATAGTCTCAGTTTAAATTTGTTATTAAAATGTTATTTCAAGTTAGATATGTATGTGATTTAGAAAATTATTTGAAACGAAAAAACTGCAAGAAAATTTCTGTTCTCTACAACTAACAATGGTATGACTGAAATTAAACACAAAAATTTTTATCATTTTTAGAGAAAAACTGATTTTTCTATATATTTTCCCTGGATATCCTTATACATTTCAGCCTTATTTAAATAAAATATTATTTTTTATAGTAACCTCCAAAATAATTTTCAGTCAGTCAAATATTTTAAGTTGGCTGAATATTACAAAGGAAGACAAATATGTAGTCCACAAAATTCAATCTACGAATTCCATTAAAAGTAAATTTCTGGAACTCATAATAAAACTACCCTAAGATGGTCTGATGACAACTTTTTGACAACGTGACAATATGTATTTTCTTCAGGATTGTTTCAAAAAATATTTTACAGATGGCAATACATCTATCTTCAAAAGTCATAAGCCATTATGACACGTTATATGACATCATGATGCTATATGACATCATATAGACATGAAATTAGTCCAAAAAAATGAACTATAATTATATTCATAATCATAACAATTTTTAAAGTAAAAGCTGTCAAAAGTCGTCTTCTATAACACCTGTGGGATTTAATAATTTTTTCGTTGATATTGATGTCTTATAGCAATTATTCTTTGCTCGATGCAGAGGTTGATAATTATCTTAGATATGTCCTTCTTCTTCTTTCCTAGTGGTTGGTTCTAATAAGTCCCATAACACTGCCGCCTTATTAGGCCTATTGTGCGTCCCACTAATCAGTCCTATTCAGCAAGTAGTTTTGTGTTTAACAAAGTCTAAAAGCTTCCTTGCTAACACTTCTCTCACAATCAGCCCCAAATTTTTGTATGTAGAAATATATGGTATTGATTTTCATGAAATAATGGTTAGATATATGTTGGACCAACTAATAGTTTTTTTGGAGTTTCATCGGTAGTAAGTATAATCATAAAACATTAAGATAAGAAAATGAAGGATGGTCATAACATTATTATAATTATTTCAAAATCTATTATGATTAATATACTGCTACCCTTTATCCAGATATCCAATAGTTCAATAAAAAAATAAAATATTTCCAAACAACTTTAAATTGTATGTACCTACATATAAAAGAAAATTCTAAAAGATTTTCAGTAGATTCCATATTTTTACTATCATAATACTAATAGTCGTTAATTTATAATCTACAATGGAATAGAATCTAATATTCTACAGTTGAATTTTGAAGTACCTCAGGGTTCCGTCTCGTGTTCTTTAATTTTTCTGAAATATGTAAATGTCAACAAGAATTTTTGATAAAAAATGAAAACTACTTTAGAGCAAGCTATTAAGGTAAAATTTTGCTTAATTAAACAAATGGCCCACCTTCAAAAAAAAAATTCATTTCATTGACGACCCGTAAATTTTTAGGGACGAAAAATTGTACCAAAGTTATTTTTACTCAAGGAAACTAACCTTGTTGTTTGGCGTATTGATTTGCGGACACCCTGTGTATTAAGGAGTAGAAGCCTGTTGACTTTGAAAAAGCAGCTGCACTTTTCTGAAGAAACAGCTTTCAACGATTTTGGGAAGAGTAACATTTGTGTGTGTTCATTTCAGTAAATGTCTTTCAGAGAAAATGTGAATGGAAGAGATATTAGCTAGCGACCTCTAGAAGATGACTAAAAATCAACGTCGTTTTTAATAAAAATATGCCTAAAATTTAACTATAAAACAATAGTCGCTATCTCTGTATTTTAAAAGCAAAAGATCTAACTATTAGTAACTATTTTGCACTAATTTTCGGAACACCTTGTATATTTTTGGTTGAATTACCAATTCAATGAATTTCTTTATTTCCTTATAATATATTTAAAAATTAAGATATTAAAATTTACAGAGCAAAAATATTCCATGTTTTTTTACTGTTTGTATAAAATATACTTTTGTTAGATAATAATTTGTTAAATTTGTCATTCTAATCTGGTGTTATTGAATTGTAATTCTCATTTTTTTTTTGTCTATAATGGCAAACCCATTTGACTTCAATTTACTGTTCAATTGACCAATCACCTACTTTTTTTTAGTGTCTAAAATTAGTACAACATAAATAAAGCACACAAATAATAAAGTACGTATACTTTAATTGCTCAATTTTGGCTTTGTACATAAATCATAATGCAATAAATAGATAAATATCTTTCCTCGGGAAGCTGATTACCAAACATGGGCGGCATGGACACCATGATGAGGTCCAACAACATCAGATATTGTGGCAGCCCTGCTAGCGGCTATAGTACCAGAAGGTCCAGCTACTACTGTATCAACAGATCCGTGTGCAGCTACAACTGGAGCAGCATGGGCAACTGCAACTGGGGCAGCGTGGGCAATTGGGGCAGCATATGCAACAGGGGCGGCATGTGCAACAACAGGGGCGGCATGTGCAACAACAGGGGCGGCATGGGCAACTACAGCTGGGGCTGCATAAGCAGAGTGAGCAACTACGGTGGAAGAGTGAGATACTACAGCTGGAGCAGAGTGGGCTACAACAACTGGGGCGGCATGGGCGACCACGGGAGCAGAGTGGGCTACTACAGCAGGGGCGGCGTGAGCTACTACGGTAGGGGCGGCATGGGCGACTACAGCAGGGGCAGCGTGAGCTACGACAGCTGGGGCAGCATAGGCGACAACACCGGAATGTTCGTCGGTGACGATGCTGCCTCCTGGAGATACGGAGGAGATTACGCTTCCTTCAGGTCCAACTAGGGTCGTTCTGCTGCTGGGTCCTTGCAAGATTTTGGCTGAAGGCAGGACACTGGCGTTAGCAACGGCCAAGATGGTGAAGAGAGCTACAGCTGCCTGAAAAGGTGATTTAATATTAATAAAATGTCTCTCCTGAATACCCACTGTTACTTTAACAGTAAGTTAAGAAGAAAGAATATTTGCAGTTGAATTTCATTACTTAAAGTATTTCTATTTGTAGTTACTATTTTAAAAACATCTTGATTTATAATGTATAATTTAATAATAATTTCTGTTTATTGCAAAATCCATAAAAGCTTGTAAAAAACTAGTTCATTTATTAATAGAACCGAATTGTCAAAGCGTTGAATATTAATAACATCCTTTGCATGAGAAATATTTGTTACCGAGATTAAATTAAACATGTTGACTGTTGAAATACTGAAATCAGTCAGTACTTACGTAGGATTGCATGTTGCCTTGTATAGTATGTATGTACCTGGATCAACTAACTGATAGCCTCCGAAATTAGCCAATTCGTTTTATATGTATCACTGACCTTGCGGTTCACGGAGTGGCCCTCCCTAAATGGTTTAAAGTTTCCGTATATTATTTTCTGTCGCATACCCAGCAAGGGCACCGTAAATACCTTTACTTCGTTGACAATGTCTCTCTACCTAAATTTCCTGAAACAAACCTGCGATATTGTTAACAACGGGTAAGTAATAATCATTATCTTTTAGATAAATATTTTTTGTTTAAATTTATAATTTAACAGTGTCGAATTTAAAAGCCATCATTGATTGATGGTACATAAATATTAACTTTGTATTTTGAATTGTTATCAAAATCTTGGCTCTTAAAGCCAGCCGAGGATAAAACCTTTACCAATTTGAAATTCAATAAATTGATTAAAAAACTGAGGAAATGATTAGTACAGGGTGATTGACAATATTTTGAACCTCCTTTAACATTTTTGTTTTAAGAGTTATAAAAAAATGTGAAATACAAAAGTTACACGATTTTTTATGAAGTTTTCGAAAATGATAGTAGAAAGATAAATGAAGTCCAAACAAAATGGCCGCGGATGTTAACTTTGTTAATTTAAATGGAACACGCTGTATATTATTACATAGATATTGGATAGAACGTTTCCTGTCTAGTATTGTCATGTAGGGTTTATTGGGTCCATCTCTAATAATAACCGAGATAACATTAAAAAACGAAATGGTCTTTTATTGAGAAAATAAGACATTTTGTAATTGTTAGACTTCTTTCAGGCATTTCTACTTTTTTTCCAATTACATAAGGATTTACAGATTTAGTTGTAATATTTTGACATATCGGACATTGATATAGTCCAAAATGCGTATAGGTATTCTAACTAAATCGCGCTAATTAGGCCGTGAGAGGCCTAATTACTCATGGATAATGTTATATGGTAGGCCATATATAGGTATATGGTAGTGACAGGTAGTAATGTCATAATAACATTTTTATTGATTGACAATTTGTATTATTATTTAATTAAAATGGATTACATAGAAGTAGAAAATTGAAATATTATTAGGAATTAAAACAGAATATGGAGAATAACTTACTCTATGTATTTTAATTCCTATAATATTTCAATTTTCTACTTCTGTGTACCCCATTTTAATTAAATAATAATAGAAACAATAACAATGTTGTCATGACATTACCAGTTGGACATCATTTGTTTTTCTACTATCAATTTCAAAAATTTATAAAAAATAGTGCAACTTTCAAAATATAGTGAATCACCCTGTACATTGTAGCAAATTTCATGGCTTCAATACATTAGCAAATTGGCGACAATAAAATTTGTTCAAAATTGGTCAATTTTGCAAATTTTGGTGACCCTATATTTATGCAGAACATTCAGTAGTGTCTTCCAAATTAAGCTGGTATACGAGTCATTTATAATGAATTCGGTGTATCAAACACAAAATTGTGAATAAAATACTCAGACAAGTCGATTATTTTAGCATTCTAGTAATTTGGTATTTTTAAACAATTATTTAACAAAATTAATTAAATTAATTCAATAACGCACATTTTTTAAAAATTATGGGAATGGTAAAGGAATAATATTTAATTTGTTGTATCTTTGGAACAACTAGGAATAAGTATTCAAAATTGTTTGGTGATATATAAATGTACACGCCGCTCACAAACCACAAGGATACTATTTAAAAAACGCCATATCTTCTACATACTAGGACGTATCTGAGAATTTTTTAAGCAATTTCGTGTTTGGTACACCGAATATATTCCAAGTCCACTACCTCACTGAAACGCTCTGTAGAATTTGACACATGTTTTTTTCTTAAATGATTACATACTTAGATTAAATATTAAAACAGTTGTCTGACCTAAGTTTCAAGTCTGTCATAGTAGGCAATTTGCTGTTATCTTAATTGATTTTTATTCTAAAAGTTAGTAGCTTTAAGTTTAATCTTTGACTGAGTGTATATAGCAGGGGTCGGCAGGTAATTTTAGGTTGGGTCCCGATACATTTGAAAATTTTTAACGAGGTCCAAAAAAAATTCATATTATTTGTTTATTTTAATTTGGACTCAAATTTAATCTGCTTATTAACCATTAAGAACTCACACACTCACACAACTGTAAAATACTAGAAAAAATTATAAGATTGGCACTTAAACGTAAAAAAACATTTTTTAAATAATTTATTTAAGTAATTTATACTTTCAAAAAATTTTTGGCGGTCCAGTATTTTACCTTCCGCGGTCCGGACCTGGACCGCAGTCCGCCAGTTGCCGACCCTTGGTATATAGTCATGGGTTTAATGTAAGATGTCGAAAATAATAACATATTTAATAGTAATAACATCAATCAATTTCTTATACAACTTACTGAATAGAAAATTATTAAATAAATGCAAAACCGTTTTAGAATGACCTGAATGATCATTGAGATATTTTACCTTATACTGAGAAAATGAAAAATTTATCAAACGGCCTAATAATTGACCTAATGTACATACATTACACTTTCGACTTTACCAACACTCACTTATAAAAATAAAAGGATAAATGGTACAAGCTACAAGAATATGCCTTTCTTATAGGCAACCAATTTAACACATATTTCAAGAACGAACAGCCTGGTATTTATATATCTGTAATACAATAGGTAATAAATAAAATTTTATTTCTTTTGTTGCAAATGTACATTTCTTAAATATAAATGATAAATTCCAATCTTTTTTTTTTCTATAAACTTTGACTGTTTATGTCATATTTCGAAATGATATAAAACTGAAAAAAATATATCTTTCAAAAATAAAATAGATTAGAAAATTGACAGTAAACTTCTGGTATAATGAGCATATTATATGGATTTATGGATAATATAAAGCTTTTGATCAAATCTGCTTTTGGTCCATTATAAAATGGGTTTATTACTGTAAAACGTTTCGGGTCGCGAATCTTTTTTGTCCACGACTGTTCCCATCAGTTTGAAAAACTTGATTGGGTGTAACTAAAATGTTTAGCAACACTTTCAAGGTAGTTTCGATGACCCAAAACAAGAGTTCTTATCAATATGTGTCAGAAAATGTTTTATTTTAGATATTTAAAATTAATGAGAAGTTTATTGGGCATATATTTAAAATACAACGGCATTTCGGGTCGTTATGTCGTGACCTGTGCCAGGTCGCTACCAATTATAGAGTTATCTTTCACTTCCTCAGCCTTAGCTAGGAATCTTTCACCTACTCTTGTTGTTCTCGGGCTAAGCTCAGTGGGGGCCGACCCGTTATTAGAATCCAAACATAATTAAATGATATTTTAATTCAGTCAAAGATAACGCCGCGCGCCGTGACTGCTTGAATTATATCATTATTTCAAAAATAAGTCACGACAGTTTATTATTACGTATTACCTATAGTATCATATTTTGCCATTTATCTTAAAAATGGTGGAGTCTAATAATACTAATTAATACATTTTTGTAATTACCTGATGCTCTTTCATCAAATGGGATCCACCTATGGAGCATTGCGGAACAATTTAATTACACAATCTGATTCTGCCTTCTACTCCAATAAAATAAAAACGAAAATAACTATTTACCATCAAATTGCCTTAGGAGATAAAAAATTGTACGGTTAAAATTTTATTAGAAAATTTACCATGTTAGGTGTGTGACTAGTTTTATAATCCCATTAAATAGACCGGAACAAAAGTAGACTTGAAGTACAACTTTGCTGCAATATTTTTAAATTAATTCATCTTAATATTAGGCAATAGTAATATATAATGCAGTAGGTACCTATCAATTGTCGTAATCAGTAAAATATAATAAAATAATGTTAGAATCATTCAATTCTCAAGGTTCCTCATTGATCAAACCAATCTTCTTTACCGCTTCGTTATCAGAAATTGCGATCGAAATTTTACAATATGTCTGTTTCTATTATCCTCGACATTTCAGATATGAGACGTCGATTTTGTAAACGTAAAAATAATATTTTTAAAATTATTTACTGGTTTGTGATTGTGATACCTTTCTAAGAAAATAGATAAGGAATTAAAAGAGGTATTTCGACTTCGACATCAGACAAGATTGTATAGTTCGATCTGAACAGAAAATCGTTAGGTACAGGTCATCAGATATAGTAAACGCTCTGAGTGCAAAGCGGTGCCTATGCAAAATTAAAAAAAAAAGAACATTCCGAGGAAGAAGAATACGCGCTCGGATTTTTAATAGTTATTTGTACTTTTGTGTAATTTATTGCATCAATGCAGTTGATATTCATTCGATCTGTTCACCACAAAGACAACATAGTTCCCAATAGGTAGTACGTGGTGCCTGTGTCCATTGGACATCAGTAGACATGACGGTTTTTGCTACATGTGATAACCTGTGGCTGCTATATACTGCTATTATTCACATTATCATTCTTTTGTATAGACAAATAAATATTTTGTTTATATTTATTTAATTTGTCCGTTACACTATTTAACTACTTTTCAGTTATTCTTAGGCGAAAAATATGTTATATTTTATGTAAAGAAGAGGTTTAGATAATTCTTAACTAAATTTACCACCTCGACTGAAAGAGCCCTTTTTAAAAATTTTTCATTCTTGGACCTTGTAACACATCCGACCAAATATTTTTTTAGTTAACGAATCTATGGATATTTAATAATAATAATAATAATAATAATAATAATATAGGTTTCATGTTGTCTGCTTGCTAACTATTCAAAATGCTCACTGGTAACTGATCTTCAAAAATATCTGCGTGTATGTGAAAATATTCTTATAAAGCAAAAATCTTTGAAGAAATCAAGGATGCTATGAAAATACAAACATTTTGATTTTTGTCAGTAATAATTTGATTGACATTTGACAAAATTGATTTCCAATAAACTGTTAAAAATTAATACCGAACATTATTTTCAACTTTTTTTCAGTAATGTAGTCTGAGAATGTGAAAAGGCGTTTTATTAGTTTTGTAGTTTCTTCTAATCAAGACGAGCTAAAAACGCTTGGGCAAACAGAACGCATTCTGACGCAGCGGCTGCGATCACGTGATCGTCATGGCAGTCAAGGACCTCATGACATAAATCTCTCCTAGAAACAAACAAATTAGAAAATGGGAAAATTATTACCAGCGCAAATTTATTTGCTCACCGAGGAAATCATGTTCTGGTCTAGAAGTTGATATTTCCTTATGAAAATTTATGAGTTTGGTACGTGGGCTATTTCACCCAGAGAAACTCTAGAAACGATGTTTCTACATTTCCGAAACTATTTGAAATTTTTCCAAATATTTCTTAGATTACACAGGCTGGTAAAAAACAAAAGTTTTTGTGTTTTAGATTAGACCCGGTTTTTCCTATGCATTTTAATGTTCTGAAATCAAATCTCAGGATTACAAAAAAAATCTGATTCAAGAGTTTTCCACAAATCACTTTCAAATGCGGGATATTTCAGGTTTTTTGGCATTTTTTTGGGTAACCTCATGGCACTCATCAAGACTTGTGTAATATGAACAGAATTATGATTTTTAAAGTTTTTGGTATAACAGACTGCGTTCCCCTTGAACTGTTCATTCTAGGTTTTTTATTCTGGGAACCTGCCCATAGATGAATCTTACTCCCCCTGTTGTAGTATGTTGATTGGTTTTCAATTGAGTCAACATTCATCCAGAGCTCAAGCCTCAAGACCACGACAAGGCATTCACGATCTTAGGGAATTACCTATATCATAGGCCTGAGGAAATGATATCACCGAATAAAAATTGTTGGCATTAGAGAAAAGGAAAACAAGATGATAACTGTCAAATGGACCAGAATATAGAGATTCGCCGACAGTCAGTTCCATTGAGAATATGGAGCTCTAGACCCCATCTATTGACAGTCAGTTGACAATTGATGATACTCCATAACTTGGAAATATGTACTTTCACCTTTCATACGCAGTCTCTTACGTCAAAAAATTTGAAAATCATAATTCTGTTCGTATCACACAAGTCTTGATGAGTGGCATGAGGTTACCCAAAAAATGCCAGAGAGACTGAAATATCGCGCAGACTAAAAGACAAAAACTTTTTTGTGTTATCTGTTGTATATGTATAATTAAATATGTACTTAATTATACGTTATCTGCATCTAAGTAAAATAAGATACTATATTATTGGAGAAACATATACCAATATAATGTTAACAATAACATATTTTAAATATGCAGATGAAAAACAACAAAAACGTGTTTCAGTTTATTTAATACCTAAAAGAAAATGATAGTTTTTTCCACAATACTCAAAAAATTAACTAATTCCTTCATATGCCTAGTTTACAATAACACTAAACAAGAGGATAATTTGACTATTATAACGTAATCCTTTGTTACAGTGCCGTTATAGACTATTTCATCTAATGGTCCCATGGATAATCCGGTTCTGTCCAAAGTTTACTCTGAATTCCATTCCAAACAATTTTTTACCTCTAGCATAGTTGTTTGTGGAACCGTAACTACACAATCGTTACAACTACTGATAATTAAGATATTTTTTGTCACATTTGTAGTACCTAGGTAGCAAAATATCCTCCGGCGTCGATTCTGATGAATTGCCAGTCATCGCAGTGAAGGACAAACGTTCTTACATGGTCACACGAGAACTGAAACAGTTACATATTTTACTAGCGGCACTGATTCTAAGACGTAATATGGTACCGTACTAATAGCATATATCGTTACGGGTTCTGTTATTAATGACTTTATCGGGAATTTCGTGATTTTTTTGTGGGTAACCAAATGGGATTAGAAAATACAGAAGCTTATTTAGTAAAAGGATAAAGATGGGAAAGTCCCTACACAGAAGTTATGGAATTTTTTTCACGTTTCAAGGTCATACGTATTTCTAATATTGAAGGTCGGATAATACAGTAAAGTATGGAATAAATTCAGTAAAATCGAAACAAATTTTTTTTGGGAAAAATCCTCGAACAGGTCGATTTTTAATTTAATAAATACATATTTTAGCATAAAAGGCGATTTTCAACCGTCACTTGTTTTCAAGTAATGAAGTCATTGACATTTTTTTAAATAGCAACCCCCTATTTTTTTTCTTGATTCTGAAAGATCGTTTCATTGTCGATCTGACAGTATTATAATGTTGCCATCATACATAGGAAAGTTTTCTAGTAAATGACGATTGAATGTTACAAAACGTAAATTTTATTCATTAAAAAAATAACAATTTCTATGTCAAGCAAATACAATTCATTAAGTTTTCTACCTAAATTAAGTGTTCGAATTGCCACCCACCGACTTCTTGATACAATACGCAAGTCTGTGTAGAAATTCTTCTTGCACATTATGAATTATTTCTGGGGTAACTCTGTGTATTTCATCTATAATACAATTTTGGAGTTCTTCTAAATTATGTGGTCTATTAATGTACACTTTGGACTTTAAGTAGCCCCATAAGAAATAGTCCATGGGTGTAAAATCTGGGGATATCGTGGGCCATTATATCGGTCCTCGTCTGCCCACCTAGAAAAACAATTGTTCAGAAAATCTCGAAGAGGGCGCGCATAGTACGAAAAATGTTTTAACAGACTTCAAAAAATCCTAATAAAAACAACGATGCTTCAACAAAGTGTAAAAGTGGTATTTACTTATATTTCTTAATATAAACTTAGATCCTAAAAAATAAATTAAAATAAGGAAAAAGTCAATCGTTCTTAATCAACTATATATTAAAAGACACATTTTTTGTATTTCTACGCAGAGAGTGACTAAAGAATCAATTGGGATTTTGTAGCAATAAAAGTTATTATGTTCCTCACAACCACATGTATAAAGCTGTTAAATAATAGACAAAAGTTAAGAATATTATACTGTTTAAAAGCTATTTATATTTAAATAGTAATCCTTTTGAATTATATTAATCTTATTATTTTGGTCAGCTTACGCTAGATAATACCAATACCATTAATACTAAAATATCTATATCTCGATAACAAGAAAGGAAACTAGTAAATAATCTTTAAAACAAAAAAATATGAGCTCCTTAAATTTTGTTGTCTACGAACTAATCTGTTCGTAAAATTAATACTATTATTTTAAAATAATATATATGAGATAATAATGTAAGTAGATACCAATATATTGAAGACAGATTTTGAATAAACTTTTTGGGATGGATAGGTTAATAGTGTACCGGAAACATCCTGTATATATTATGCTATAGCTTCCATTATAGTTTTTAAGTACTTGGTTTTACAATTTTTACAAAAAAGCTCTCTTTGAAATGGACATAACCCGATTAAAGTAAGTGGAGTATTAAAGATGCTGTCAAGGCAAAATCCATCACAAGATACTCCTAGGCAGGGCTAGTTTAACTTTACAAAAGTAAAAGGTGCGTGACTAGTATTACGTCAAATAAAATACCTGTAAGTTTTTTAATAATATATAGAACGTTACTCATTAAGAATTCGGATTACATTAAAAAAAAATTACATAAATTTTGAACTGTTTTTTTTAACACTTGACCTACATTAGACACTTAATATTAATTATTGTTACGACTAATATATATTACATTTAAATTAACTTTATTAATATTATCGTTTTTATGATAACTACTAAAATATTCTTCGTTTTGCGTTTCAAATAAATTTTAAATTACCTATTTTAAAACTGCTATGTTTATTTCTATTCTCCGATCAAATCCGCTATTAAAATATCCATTTAGTATCTAATCTGAATCGAAATGTTTAATTCATCACTGTCATTCCGAAAACTGAAGTGGTGGAACTCAAGTCATGACATTCATCTTCCAATCCGAGTAGGCAGGAACCAGGACATAATTGGAGGTGTTACTGAACCTAACAATTGAAATTCCAAGGCCTTCTATTTATATAAATAGTGAGAGTAAACAATTTTTTGATCAATTAACTATCAACTTACCCATAGATTGTAGGAGTATGGACCGGAAAGAAATAGTAAGTCTGCTAAAATGAGGTCCTGTACATAATGTCATATTATTTTTGTTTTAAGGTAGTATTTCTACTGGCTTTGGCCACAGCGAGTTCAGGCATAGTGCCAACTCCTAAGGTCCTGGAAGGTCCAAGTAGCAAGACTACCATAGTCGGTCCAGATGGCAGCAAGATCTCAGCTTTCGCACCGGGAGGTAAAATATTATTGGATGAAAATGCTGGGCCAGTACTTCAAGGCGCCCCAGAAGTAGTTGCTATTGCTGGAGTAGCTCAACCTATTCCAGTAGTTGAAGATCAAGCTGAAGAAGTTGCTCCAGTAGCTGAGATCAAATCTGATGGTGATTCAGTTGCAGTAGAGGCCATCTCTACCCCAGTTACTGTTTCCGTGGAAAGTGCAGAAGCTGCTGATTTAATTAAAAGCGCTACAACTGATAAGAGCACACAGATCGAAGCTACCACTATCGCTGTGCCTGTATCTACTGTTCAAGTGTCTGAAGAATCAAAAACTGAATCGTTGGAAATATTAGAAAACGCGACTGATTCTCCAACTGTGGAAAAACTAACTGAAAATCCTTTTAGTGTTGTACCGTTAACTAAAGTTACTGAACCAGAAGTCGCAGAAGCTGCAGAACATCAGCCTCTAGTGGGTTATATAAATGGTGCCCCATTCTACGTTCCTCATTTAAAGGAACAGGATGGGGTATACGTCCCCGAGAACTTGTTTGAACAGGAAATTCTCGGCTGATAGAGATATGTGATAATTTTTTTTATTTATATAGACTGACTTTGATTTTTGAATGTTATTTATGAAAGTATAATTAAATTATTAAAAAATTTTACTTTTTTGAACAAAAAAAAACCATTTTCTGATTACCCAGTACATTTTCGTTTATTCAGAGAATTTTCTGAAGTTTAATTTCTTTTGTTTGATTTCATTGTCTAAAAAATAGTCTCAATTTATTATGAGTTATCTTGACATATAAGAGAAAACATTACTATTATTACGGTACTATATGTTAAAACAAAATAATAGGCATCAGTGGACATAATAAAAACTGTAATTTTTAGGCATTTCATAATTTTCAAAATAATTTAACAATATTGCAGATACATCATACTATCAACATTATTCATAGTCTGCTTAGAACTGTTATGTACATATAGTCATATATTAAAGACAACTCGTTTTCATTGTTAACCAATATTTTAACAATAATGAAGGTTTGGCAGCTACAATTTCGCAATTTTGGTACAAAATATAGTCGAAATAGTGATTTAACTTCATCAACTGTGAAGAGATTAATTGAAAAATTCAGGAAGACTGGATCAATTAGTGATCTTAAATCCCCTGGCCGTCCGCCAACAAGTCGTTCATTACAAAACATCGAAGCCCAACATCGATTATGAGACTGTTGCTGAGAATCCAGGAACATAAAATTGACATCGTGATTAAGAATTGGACATTTTAAGAAGCTCTCTATAGCGCATTCACATGAATGATTTGCATGCTTACAAAGTTCAAATGACTCAAAAACTGAAGACTACTGACCATGCAAAGCGAAGAGAGTTCATTGAATGCAATATTGGACAAGTGGATGCTGATTTTTCGAACATAATCATCTTCAGTGATGAGGCCATTTTCTTCTTGATGGCTTCGTTAATCGACAAAATTGTCGCATTCGGTGTTCAGAAAATCCACGAGTGATTGTTGAGAAACAAATGCATCCAAACGTCTCAATGTTTGGTGCGGATTTTAGGCTGGACGTATTATGGGACCATTCTTCTTCGAAAATGTGGTTGGTCCGAGAAACAATTCAATTACTGTATGGGTTATTTCCTGGTCGTGTAATTTCCCGTTCTGATGATGAGAATTGGCCGCTCAGATCATGCGATTTAACGGCGTGGGACTTTTTTCTTTGGGTTTTTTGGAGTCCTAGGTTTATGCCAACAAACTCACGACCACCCACGCCTTGAAGTAGAAGATTGAGCGCTGTATGCAAAATAGCCGATACATAACTCTATACTGTATTGGGATGAATCAAAAGTTTAAGTTTCAGTATTAGGATGAAAATAGATTAATGTCAAAGAATGACACAGTAAGAGTTAAGTAATAAATTTGAAATTAAGATGACAATTAGATGCAAAATGACAATTTAAAAATAAAATATAAATTTTGATGAAATATCGATCAAAATTAATGAAAGTGGTCATAAAATAAGGGTATATAGCAAAATAAGGATTAAGTAATATTGCAAAGGTTAAATTGGACATCTGAAATTAAAAAGTAATCTGATTGGTTAAATTAAAAAGGATAAGTTAAGAAAAAAATGTATTTAAAAATAAGAGTGCAGTGCAGTAGTAATCAAGGAGACGAGAAAAAAAATTAATAATAAATAAGACAGGAGAGAGGAGATATAATTGTCAAAACAGAAAAAGAATATTGTATAAGAAAAAGTTAAATAAATGAAAGAAGACGAAAGCAAAAGAACACGAAGCTGATAGTGAAAATCAGTAGCTGAGAAAAAGAAAGAAAATTTTCTTAAGGAGAAAGGAGAATACAAAATTGTTGTTTATCGTGCAGGAAACTATAAAGGAAAGAAAATAACAACAAAGAAAATTAAAGTTAGAGAAAAATTGTGTTTTGAAGAAAGAATAAGGGTGTACACGAAGTTTGACAGATAACTAAAGATTAATTATCAAATAGTTATATTAGTAACATTATTTGAATTGTCGTAGCTAAGAAAAAAGGAGATAAGGAGTAGGAGCTTTTAAGGCGAGTCGGGAAATTGCAGCCAGCAGAGCGATACAAGAGACAGAGAGAGGAACAAATTGACAAAATGGGGATATTGAGATTGAGACGAAAAGAAGGAAGAAGTCAGGACAGAAATAGCAGAAAGGAAATTACTACTTAAGAAATCGTGGACATTAAAAGAAAGAAAGGACGATAGATATGTATGTATAGGTAATAAGTAAATGTTAGTTTGTAGAGTAGAAATAAGTTATCGCAGGATAAAGAGGGACATTTCAAAAAAAAAATAGAAATTTATAATTTATTACGTCAATATAAAAATTTAAACACAGATTACAACAATATTATTTATTTTTTTTTAACAAAGTTAATTACAAGTAAAACCTATTTTGTGAACCGACTACTGAGATAAGACCTCATGTTCTATTAAATTTGATGTTTATTATTTATACAAAATTGACATAGGTAATCTAATTGTCATTAAAATAATCAAACGTAAAATAGAATCCCGTTTTAAATCTAGAATACTTTATAAAAAGCAAATAATCTTTAATTTACAATTTATATTTCAAAATCAAATTAAGTGATAACACATAAAAAGCTAGCCTGGTAAGTAAAATAAATATATATTTTCTAAAAATAATATTCAAAATTTATTGACATAGGTAATCTAATTGTCATTAAAATAATCAAACGTAAAATAGAATCCCATTTTAAATCCAGAATACTTTATAAAAAAACAAATAATCTTTAATTTATCATATTTCAAAATCAAATTGAGTGATAACAAATAAAAAGCTAGCCTGGTAAGTAATAAAAATATATTTTCTAAAAATAATATTCAAAATTTATAATTCCACTGACGCTCAACATTACATATTACATAGAACTACACAAACATTAAAAAACTAATTATCTTAATTGGAGCTTCACAGTATACTTTATGAATCAATAAAAAAACTTACAATCTTTAAATAAAGATCCGTGTTTTCTATCAAAATTACTTCTTGTGTAATTTTTGGACACCCTTTATATACTATAAAAAAAGTCATTTTATGTTATATATTTATATGCATTTGTATTATATTTGAATCCTCAATCTAGCATTAAAAAATGCGATTCTTTAAAGACAAAAAATTACAATTCAATAGTTTAAAGGTTAAATCTGATGTCATCAATATTTCCTCTTTAATTGCATACTAAAACCTAAATTATTTATACAAAAAAGGTCAAAGAAAAACCATCAAATGCGTCTAATATTTTCGCATTAGTAATAGTTTAAAGGTTAAATCTGATGTCATCAATATTTCCTCTTTAATTGCATACTAAAACTTAAATTATTTATACAAAAAAGGTCAAAGAAAAACCATCAAATGCGTCTAATATTTTCGCATTAGTGACTATCAGTTGTCAAATATTAGGTTCATAAAATTATACATATTTTGCTTTGCTGTTTATAGTGTGACAAACTCTTGCATTTCAGCAATAGGCGTAGTACTTATAGAGCTCAGTGTCGTTTGCAACATTTTTAAATCATACAAGTTTTAATGAATTTATAATGTCCACTTTTAAGGTCATCGAAAGTCACTAGTCCAGTATAATTTCTATACATATATCGAAAGCACGTCGTTTCTGTTGTATAATACAATGGGATATATTGGCGTAAGTACATACATATTTTTTAAATTTTTTAACAGAATTTAGTAAAATTTGAATATTCTTTTAAACCCAGTAACTTCTCAGAGCGCAAAGTTAACTGAAGCAATGTAAAGGAAAATGTACAGATGAATGACTCAAGTTTATTTATAGATTTACCAAAATTCGTTAGTGATGTCAATATAAAAATATATCAGGAGTATTTTTTTTTTGTAAAAAAAAACAGATATTTTCTCTCTTGATATGGGTGAAATAAATTTTATTCGAATTTGAACGTTAATTTATTAATAGTTTTATTACGGCATTCCGCAAATATCCATAGATAGCACTTTCTGTAGGTCACCATTAAATTTTTAACGTATATTAAAATTTTTGATGATAAAATAATTTTAACAGGATGTTAAAAATTTGATGAAACGTTTAAAAGCAAATTATTGATTATATTCAATAAGAAAACATTAAAATTTCTATATTCCATATTCTTCTTAGTCTATTAATCGATATATGGCAATAGTTTCTGGTATTTCCGTAACTTTAGGTATTACATATAGATTCTATTTTCTGTACACAATATACAGTGCTTTCGAAAAGTAACGAATAAATTCATTATTTTTTAAATTGAGAAGTTTTCGAAAAAATCCCCTGGCATGTCGATTTTGTTTTTAAAAAAGGCACTTTTCGATATACGACCCATATTTGTGACGTCATCGTTGTTCGAGATATGACGTCATCGACAATTTTTTTAAATAGCAACCCCCAATTTTGACCATGCCATTTGAAAGAGCGTGTCATTGTACATACAAATCATGAAAAATTATGGTGTTACATAACAAACATTTCAAGAAAATAACGTTTGAAGATTTTAAAATTTAATTTTCACAATACTGAAAATGATAATGATTATGTAAAAATCAACTAAATTAAATGTTCAAATTGCACCGTTGGCTGCTTGATAGTAGCCAAGACGATTAATAAATTCTTTTTGGACATTATCAATAACTTCAGGAGGTATACGATGTATCTCGTGACGAATTCTTGCTTTTAAATCTTCTAAATTAACCGGTCTAGTAACGTATACTTTGCTTTTTAAGTATTTCCACAAGAAATAATCTAGGGGTGTCAAATCAGACGATCTGGCTGGCCACTCAATCGGCCCCCTTCTCCCTATCCAACGATTCGGGAACAGCTCATCTAGATAAGCACGGACAGGTGTTGTATAATGGGGTGGTGCACCATCTTGCACCATTTTGTTTATAATATGACAAAGTTACTACTCAATAAACATTTCAAACGCACTGCTTTTGCCAAACAAAAGATAAGAACTAAAGAAATAACCCAAAAAACGAAAAAAACTATTTAATAAAGTACGATTTCAAGTTTTTATCTGACAGCAATAAAAAACATTCTCGGTCGCTGGGGCTACTGTCAGGCAACCATGATTTTTGACGATGCGTATGTAGAATGACACGCTCTTTCAAATGGCATGGTCAAAATTGGGGGTTGCTATTTAAAAAAATTGTCGATGACGTCATATCTCGAACAACGATGACGTCACAAATATGGGTCGTATGTCACAAAGTGCCTTTTTTAAAAACAAAATCGACGTGCCAGGGGATTTTCGAAAGCACTGTATATGTAACAATAATAAAGTATATTTACCAATGTAAGATATATTAAATATATGAAGACACATTTATTTCGTAAATTTTTACTGCAAAGCGAATATTCTTTACATTTCTTCTTCGTTTCATGTGTGTATTTGCATGCATCCTTACTAAAAACAAACTAAATTTTCAATAAGACATTGTAACTCAAATGGATCATTCTTATTTCGCAAATATTCTTCCAATCAAAATATTACTTTCAGTTTTTCCCTTGTGCCCAATATTTTCTTGTTCACGTTCTAATAAGAAAATTTTCCATTTATAATGCCAAATAAATTTAAATTCCAGTCTCCTAGTTAAAGATTATAAGGATTCACAACTTATTGCAAAAATACATTTTTTTATAATAATTTTCTGTCAATTATGTCGCTATTTAAAAATTTTGCAGTTGTGGTATTCTTATAGAGTTTAAAATTTAACGCCGATATAAGGAAAATAGCGAATGATAACATTAAAAAAATGTTTCTAGTGCCAAAAACGTTTTGTTTCTAAAATATATATTGTTAAATGTCTAGGACACATTGAGATGATTCTACTACTTTGTTACTGTTTATTAATTTCAGTTAATGTTTGTATTTGGTATGATGGAATTATTTTCTCGTTGTAACAATCACATACACCATTTTTATTATTAACCACAATACGAACAAGTTCAGATTTAGTTTATTTTTTTAAAATATATGTATATTTTATTATTAGCTGTTATAACAAATTAAAAATTCAGGGTTTTAACAAAACCGTAACGCAATAATATGCAAATATTAAAAGTATTCGTTTTAAAGAAATCCATCGTTTTGACGTAAATTAAATTACAATAGTTTGGTGACGGCAAAACACACCGTTGGATAGATTCTTTCCAACCAGAACATTTATACTTATTGATCTTTTTTTCGTAAAATACTCAATTATCTAATAAAGGTCCAAAATGGAAGACAAGATAGCCATGTGACTGAAATGGATATCCGTAAAATAATTCCGTAGTTGAAATTAAAAAATTAAGATCAAAAAATTGTTAATTCTCTTTTAACATTGTCTTCATTTTTCTACTTCGCTTGTGAACGGTGCTTTCTATAAGAAAAGTTCAAGAGGTGCAAAAGGTTTTTCAACTTAGATATTTCAAACTTCTCTTATTTCCATCATGTCTAATTTAATTTTCAATTTTACATGCATTTTTAAATTTGAAATCTGTAATATTGATTCTTGATTATTTATTTTTTTTTCTGCATCCTATATTTATTTATCATCCATTCTAATTTTGTCTTTCTTTATTCTGTCTTAAATTAACCAACACGTAATTTTATTGGCTGCAGATTATTTTTTCCGTTGTAATTATCTCTGCAAGCGGTACTACAGTTCCAAAGGAGAAGTCAGTTCTGGGCCTAACTAATGAAGCGGAACATTCGAGGATACTCGTTCAAGAGTCACATATCATGAAAGAAAAGAATTTCGTTCCCGATGGAGTGCTTCTACCTGACTGTAACATTTGCCCTCTGTGCTGCGAGAGAGAGTTTGGGCACAAATTTATGGACAAACCCGGATTCTCCCCGATACATGGTCCGTTTGGAACAAACGACTATTTATTGTAAGATCTAATTAAATGTTAAAAATGACAACTAATTCTTCTAAAAATATAAATTATATACCATAAGATAAATAAAAAAATTATAAAGATTAATAATTATTATTAATAAATGAATGTTGTCGTTAAATTTTTTTTAAGACTACGCAAAAAATGCAAAACAAATATCTCAAAAATTTGCAAAACCTTGAGTTTTTAACAATGCAGAATATTGCTAAAAAGTATAGTTTTTTTATATAGAAAATATTATTTTGTAAATTACCAGCAGGAATACTAAAAGTGGTCAGACTCTTGACGTTAACGAATACTGCATACATTATATTATACAGGGTGTCCCACCGGGATCTGCGTCGATCGATGTCTAGGATAGTACTTCTCCGAAAAATTTGAAAAAAAACAAATTAAAATACTCCTCATTAGTATAAAATTTAAACAATCCCCAGGCATTTTTATTTAAATTTTCGGCAAAAACTAGACACAACAATAATTTGACAACTAACTTTACAAATGTCAAGTTATTTCAATTGTTTTTAGAGTGTTTCTAGTCATGGCCAATTCAACAACAGGCCTGATGCGAGAAAAACTGTCAAAAAAAAATAGAAAATTGAAAATATCTTTAAAAGTAGTAATGGAAACCATAACATTGCTTCTATGACTTGAAAGGAAATTTAAATCTGCAGGGTGTCTCATTTAAGTTAACAAAGTTACAGCTGTTTGAAGTTATCGAAATGTAACAGCAACAGTGAAACACCTAGTATTAAATGTTTTAATTTGTTGGTATAGTATAATTTAGTGTTACCTATCCCCTTTACAGGTACCAAAAGTCCGCTTGATATCACGCTCCTGAAAAGAGCACTAGCATCTTATAGCGGTCGACAGCCGCACGGTTTAAGGCGTCAGTCCTTTAATCGTGTGCAAATTTCTGCCCGGGTTCGATTCCCGCGGCCGGTAGACCGTAGATTACCTATGCTTGTACGGAGGATTGGCACCCTCTGTGCAGGTATGGTAGGATGGAAGAATGTTGGCTTGGATCAATGTGAGAGATTAACACCGGTTGGTATTTGACCACCCCCCTAATTAATGAGGTTTTCCAGGTTTCCCTCATTCATGCACTGAATGGTGGTTAGGGCCTACCAATATAAGTCGTTCCTGGGCGCAACTGCGGCCTGCCTAATAATAATATGCCGCCTCCTCTCCCGCACAAGTCTCTGACTTATGGGCTAATTCTCGTAATTAGAATGAGGAGTAGAGATATTATTATTATTTATTATCTCCGCGGACCCTTGCATCTGTCAAATTTTTTCTTTAAATATTCTCAAATTCTATAACTTCTAGGGATAGGGAAAATTTAATAAAGTGACCCTTAAATTTCACGTAGAATCCGAAAATGCAATAATACATAGGGTGTCCCATTTAAAATAACGAAGTTGGTGTCGACTTCCGGTATAACCGGAAGTACTGGAGAGTTCTAGATATTTTAGTTGTGGTCGTCCCAGGGACATTGCCATGTTGCCAAATTTTCAAAATTTTCGCTGTACTTTGCTAGATATCGATCGACGCAGTTTCCGGTGGGACACTCTGTATACAGAGCCTTCATAATTGACTGAAAACCATGTGACCAATAATTTTGTTTGGAACAGTACTTTTGTTTCCTTCATGTTGGCAATTAAATTTCGGCAAAATTAAAAATTATTAAAACAATAAGGTCAAGACTACATTAAAACCCAATATTCTGTTTTTCTGTCTGTTATTCACGAGATTCTTTTCAACCAATTAACGATCGCATTACCTCAAGCACAGATGTATAATAACAGTTTGTCTTTGTTGGAAAAGTTTATCCTGTGTATTTTTCTTATGATTCATATTGCATACTAAAAGTACATGAACCAGTGACAAAAACCTTGCACTTTATTATTTTTTTATCGCATTTTCTTCGATTTTTCAATTAAGGAAATACAGTTTTTAAATCAATTATTAAATATTATTTTAGCATTGCGAATAGATCAATATTTCGTCCATCAGTTCAATATTAATATCATTACATTTTTCTTTATTTATAAAAAATTATTATACTTTATACTTTAATTAAATTATTACATGTCCTATAATGTTGTTTTTCATTACCTACGAAATCAGCAAAATCTATTACAGATTTGTCGAACTTTTGTTTTGTCGTTTTGTTTTGTTAAATAAAACTAAAAGTTATTTTCTCCTGTTTAAGAAAAATGACGAAAGGGACTTGTCATTTATTAAGTGTCCCTTTCTTCATTGGTGTAGGAAAACTACATTATGAATTCTAGATTTAAACTCACATTATAAGTTTTCAATTGTTTCGTGCAGATATACAGGGAAAATTTTCACGACGGGACAAGTGATTAAAAATGTTTCCAACAGACCTGCAAAATACGTGCAAGAGGGAGTCGTGGTAATATTATAGTACATTGTGTAACGAGTGGGGAAAAGTTGCCAATAGCGCCACGCGGACGCAGTTGACGCACGAGCGAAGCGAGTGCGGAAAGCGTCCAAGTGGCGCTATGGCAACTTTTCCGAACGAGTTGCACATACTATTTTCTATCACAAGTGCGAGTCGTTATGGGACTTATAGTGTAGGGGGTTAGATGCACGGAAAGTGCATCCAGTCCAGCGTTGCGCTATGAAAATAACCCCCTACACTATAGGTCCCATAGCGAGCTCGCGTGGTAGAAAAAAAAATTGTATTTCTCATTAAAATTTATTCGTATAAACTTTTTTCCGGAACTGGGTAATAAGACAAATAACACACCATTCCGTTTGGAGATGTCTTTGAGTTATCTTAAGAGTTTCTCGAGATATTTTATTCATATTTAAACTTGGATTTAGAGCATCTGGATACTAATTTAGGAGTAGTTTTAAGGGTTTACTTTCACAATGTCATCCTTATAATTGTGTTATTCCTTTCGGAAACATTATGTAATTAGGGCTTTTATTGTTTCACAAAAATATGGGAGTCGATTTAGGACCGCCTTATGTAATGAGTTTTGTATAATTATACTTGAAATTCTTCCGCTAAAAACTTACTTAATTATGGAAGAAGAGTCATACCATACCATTAGAACTATCATACAATACGATTTTTAAATCAAGTAGCAAACCCATTTTTCAATTAATTAATTTTGTCGTATATGCACTGATTGTGAGTATAACTGAGATTAAAATTTCGGTTGAATTAAACATGTAAGTCATGTTCAATTCAATAAAATAAATTATGAGGTGTATGAATTTCTGAAACCTTTCAATGTGAAAATATGAGCGGTGGATTAAATACTCTCAAAATGAGAATCCTTAATAAAGTATATGTGAAAGTTGAAATTTGATGCGTACAAAAACGCAAAACACTAAATGACTATTATTTAAATATAAATAAAATTATTTCATCCTCACTCACTTCGTATACTATGTGGTTATTTTGGTGATGCATATATTGAGACCTCGGTAACCATAAGACATAAAACAAACATTAAAAAATATTTTAAATCTTTGTGTTACCAGACCAGCTGTAGTTATTCGGATGTTAAAGATGAATTGACAGAAAGAGACTTAATTTATTTACCTATGCTTACGAATTTTTTAAATATGTACAAAAATACCAACACTTGGTATTTTTGTACATATTTCAAAAATTTGCACACTTGCAAAGATTTTTACTGTGTATTCAGATTTTCGTCTCTATATTACGGTTTCTATAAACTATTAACACTTCCTTATTAATTATATTTTTTCTTACGGATAACGTAATGAATTATATGCTAAATAAAAATAACTTTTTTAAGCTTTTCAGCAATGGATCATAGGTACAAAAAAATTAATGACATGCCGAAAAAGACATAAGAAAAAACCGCAACAAAATTCGTTGCACAATGTTGCTGTATTCAAGTTATTTAAGAAAATCGTAAAAATAGAAGAATCAACTGTCTTCCGTTAAAAATATCTCGAAAATCTAAAAAGTTAGTCTCCGTCTGCTAGCCTCACTAATTATCTAAAACTTTACCTGAACTGTTTTGCTGTCTATTATAGCTTTTAAGGTACAGGCATCATAAAAATGGTCCACCCGATATAATAAATTTTAAATAAACAATTTTATAGCAAATGTACCTATTTATATTTATTATTTGGGGAATTGTAATAGTTTTATTTTATCGGTAGGACAAAAAAGTATTAAGTAAATAATACCTATTTAATGAGCCTAATTTATTTATTAATTTGATACTAATTTTTTAGTGAATGAAATAGAATCGATTAAAATACCTTTCAGTTTAGTGAAAAAGTGCGCCCACCTGTAACTTTAATAACTGATGCCACACTAAACATTTGCTACACTGAGAACTAAACGGCTGCTCCCAATTGTCAAAGTAACCGTGTGACTAATATGAAAGTACCAAATTGTTTTAATATAACAAAAGATACCAAGTTTAAAGTAAAAGTAATATGCGGAAATCTTCCTCAATTGTAATTAATTACTAATGAACCATGAAGGTCTCGAACACTGTATAAATGATTGTTACCGAAATATTTTTATCAATTCAGTCGACGCAAGAAAAAGTAAAAGCAACATGAACACCTACGTGAGTATTTTTATTACTTTATTGTTACTTACCACAATGCCAGACTGCAATTCAATCAGTTTAGTTATTAGTTATAAATAATCATTTTACAAATTCTGAATTAGTAATTTTATCTTTACATGTTTTGTAGATTAATAGTTTACTTTTAATTATAATAATAAAATGAACATATCTCATTACATCAATTTAGTAACCTTATTTTGAATTTTGAGTTGTATTTTTCTGCCTCTTCTATTTTTTAAACCTTCAGTACTGGACCAGGACAATTTAAAAAAATTTATTACTTTTTTAAAAAATTGTTGATCCAATTTCTTTTAACTTTTTTGCAAAAATATTATGGCAAATAACTAAGCATGTTATTGATATACTTATTAAAATTAAAACTAAAAAAATTTTTTCATAGTTCGCATAGATTTAAGCAAATGTTTAGGTTTGAAGTAGGAAGATAATAAGTTGTCTATTAATTCCCATTCACAGACTTTGTTCACCTTCGTCGTGGCTTTGTCTGCTGCCAGCGCAGGCGTCATCGCTCCCTCAGCCGCAATTATTCAAGGACCCAGCAGGAAAACTACCCTGGTCGGTCCAGAAGGTAGCGTCATTTCTGCTGTAGCTCCCGGTGGACAAATCATCACCGAAGAGCACCCAGGAGTAGTAGCCCACGCTGTCCCATCTCATGGTCCAATTGTCGCTGCACCAGTCCACGCTGCCCCAGTATACGCCGCCCCAGTCCATGCTGCCCCATTCGCCGCCTCTCCAGTCCATGGTGTTCACGCCGTAGCTCCTCAGGTCATAGCTGCTGTTATAGTTGATGATGTTGCAGCTTTCCCAGCCGGTGCTGCCCATCACGGAGCTTCATTTCTTCACGCTATCCCCGCTGCACATGGGGTTGCGGAGGGTCAGTACGTCCATGACCACGCCGAGGCTTTGTACGATGATGGTTCCTACAAACCTCATCTGCACTAGTTTGGTGGAGGATTGTTCCACGAAAGAAGTTTGCCAAAAATTTATTATGTATTGATATAACCAATAAAAATTATTAAGATAATTTTGTATTTTACTTTAAACATCTAGGCTGTAACACTAAAATGTTTTAAAAATGAATGAGCGTTTTTCTTATCCAAATTTTAAAATATTTTCTGTTACAGATATGTACCCATAAAACTCTTGTTTTTAAATTAAAAAAATGCATTTTTCGAAAATATTTTCCTACAAAAAAAACGGAAGAGCGTTATAGCAAAATTTATTAAATTTTTAATTAATATATGAGACCTAGAAAAAAGGAGAAAAAATATTTCTTTGGGGTAACTTAAACAGTTAATAATTGACTTGTATTGACCATCAAATCAATTAATTGTTTCACTGTGTATAGGCTACATTTTCATAATGAATATTCTATAAACATTTTATGCGTGACGAGTTTAATGTTTTTAATAATCTTTAAAAAATAATAATAATGATAATAATGTCTTTATTTTCGAAAATTGTACAAAGCAAAATACAATTTCACCTACATAAGGCGAAGTTTAGCCAATGGCTACTCAACCTTATAAAAAATCTAATTCATATTAAATTATTTCGGATGATGTCTAAACGTATACAATGCGTGCAAAAAAGGCATATAAAAATAAAATAAAATGTTGCAGGAGCATAATTATTAAAATTACAATATTAAAATTAATTGACAAAAACAAAATTTAGAAAAAATGGATATAAAAGATAAAATAGGTTAGTCATATTATAAAACCGAACACAAAAAAAATATCACAGAATAAAGGCAAGCAAGTTACTGCATTTTGAGGAAATGCAGTTTACACATTTTTTTAAATTGAAGAAGTGTTGGGTTTTTTAATATATTGTCTAAACTGTTGTAGAGTGTGAGAGCGTTGTAAGAAAATGACCCACAGAACATGGATGTCCGATATCTCGGTAATGAAAGCAAACCAGCACCGTAGGTACATTAACAGAGATTTTGTCTAATAATTAATTTTTGTCGGAGGTATGAGGGTTCAGAGCTATTTATAATTTTGTGAACAAAAATAGACATATGATATTTAAAAAGATTATCTACGAGGGGGAATCAAATATAAACGGTAATTTTACTATTTAGCTTAGCACGTAATTCCGATCTAGAGGATTCGATGCTCGAGTGTTGTTTGGTTTATGAGGATGGGGGAAACCGATTTGGGTAGCAGCTGCGCTCTGTTCTGTCCACAGTACAGCCATGACTGAGCGCGAGGTACCTTCGTCTGTTGCACAACGCATCATCATAAAGTTTTTAACCAATGAAGGCGTTAAACCATCGGAAATTTTCACTCGTTTGAGGGCACAGTTTGAGGATGCTACACTGTCTCAGAATCGAGTGTATACGTGGGTCAGAGAATTCAGGGATGGGCGAGAACGTGTCGAAAATGAAAGTCATGATCGACGCCCACGAACAAGTCTCACAAATGACAACATCCGTGCTGTTCGAGAGCTTATTGAAGGTGATCGCCGGTTAACTATTGAACAAATCTCATCAGAATTGGGTATCAGCTATGGGAGTGTTCAATCCATCATCACTGATCAACTTAGCTTTAGAAAAATTAGTGCTCGCTGGGTTCCAAGGTTGTTGACCGAAAATCAAAAACAGGTCAGGTCGGAGATCAGTGAAAGACATCTGAATCGATTTCGACAAGAAGGGGAGGTTTTTTTGAGGCGTATTGTCACTTGTGATGAGACGTGGGTCCATCATTACACTCCCGAATCAAAAATGGCGAGTAAGGAGTGGCGAAGAAAGGATGAAGGCTGCCCAGTCAAAGCCAAAACCCGTCCCTCAGCCGGAAAAGTGCTTGCAACTGTTTTCTTTGACTCAAGGGGAGTTTTACTCATTGATTATCTTCACGATCAACGAACAGTGAATGCGGTTTACTATTCTGAGTTGTTACAGTCGACAAAAATCGCGTATCGAAGCAAACGACGGGGTATGCCCATTCGAGACGTCATCATCCTTCATGACAACGCCAGGCCACACACCGCAGTTTTGACAAGGGATAAATTGGAAGAAATGCACTGGGAAACCCTCGAGCACCCTCCTTATAGCCCTGACTTGTCACCCTGTGATTATTTTTTGTTTGCGCCCTTGAAAGAATCGCTTGGAGGCAAAAGATTTGAAAGCAATGAAGAAGTAGAGGAGTATGTGCGCAATTGGCTGACAACTCGCCCTCAAACTTTTTATGAAGAAGGAATATTCAAGCTTCCAAATCGGTGGCAAAAGTGTGTAGAGCACGGAGGTGACTACATTGAAAAATGTTAAATGTTTAGTTTGTGTATACCATTGATCAATAAATTTATTTTACAAAATTACCGTTTATATTTGATTCCCCCTCGTA